TTGCACACCAACGTCTGAAACTGATCGTTTCAGTGTCGCGTCATTTTCAAACGATTTCTCCTCCGTTTCTTTCAAGGATTTTCTGGCATGCCTACGCTTCGTTCTTTGATGAACGCGTCCTTCCCGTCGACGTAGACGACGTCCACGGCGAACCTCACCCCGTCGACAAAGATCCAGTCTCTGATCAGCGCCATGAACGCTCTCATTATAAACGAGGAGAACAGATGCATGTGCAGTCTGTTTCTTGGGTTTCTCAGCTTCCTATAATCGCGACATTATAGTGGACATTATATGGAAAAAATTTGTAAAAATAAAAATGCGTTAAGTAAAATATTTTCAATTCTGTCCTCAAAGGATTAATCTACTTTCCGAGATATAAAAATGGGAACGAGTATGAAGGTTTTATTTTTAATACAGACAAGTTTTTACACGATTGCAAAACTATAACTACCTCAGTAGAGAAAATACGACCATCGCGACGACCAGCATGACGAAGGATGTAGTGTATCCGATCTGCGACACGATTCTAACGATAGGCAGCCATTTCTGTAAAAGTGAAGGCCGTTTTCATACGGGCATTCAAAAAGAACCTTAATTTATCTCTCTTAAGCTGGCAGGACCAAATCAACAGAATCATATTGGATTTAGTGGAATATTTAGTACTTATTTTGTATTAATTTGTACCACCAACAATAATTTTGTACCTCGTGCCGTTTTCGAAAAAATCGTGGCGCTGCTAGCTTTATTAAGCTAGCAGGACCACACGTCAAAATTAATAAAAATGAAAAAATTAAAGTAGATACATTTAGTGCTGAATTTGTACTAATTTGTACCATCAAAAGAAATTTTGTACCTGTTACCGTTTACGAAAAAATCGTGGCGCTGCTAGCTTAATATTAATATTACGATTTTTTTGAAAACGATAACAGGTACAAAATTTCTTTTAGTGGTACAAATTAGTACAAATTCAGTACTAGATGTATCCGCTTTGATTTTTTTATTTATATTAATTTGTAACATTTTCAGTCACTAGCTTAATATTAAGCTAGCAGTGCCCCGATTTTTTCGAATACGGTACGAGGTAGACTTCTTTTGGTGGCACAAATTAGTATAAAATAAGTACTAAATATGCTACTAAGTCCCATATGATTCTGCTCATTTGGTCCTGCCACCTTAAGAGAGGTCCTTAATTTCTCCTAACACCTGAATATTAGTTATCCTTACGTCTAACAAGAACTCGAACCTCCCGTAGTCTCGAGAATTGGTCATTTTGGTTCCCAAATCGCAGAGGCTGTAGTTACTCCACGGGATCTCCATCGAATTTTTGTACCATTGGCCGTTCGCCATGCAAACCTTGGTGGCTATCGCGACACCTCGGTTATTCGACTCCAAGGTGGTCCTAGAGGACTCCATTACAGGAGGGCATGGCAGAACAGCCATCGACAAGGATTTCGTATATGGCCAGCAAAGCAGTCCATCGAAGTAAGGTGGACAGTGGCAAAATTGTATCCCAAGGCTACCATTTTCCATCGTAGCGTTGTGATCTGTTCGAAATTTATAAATTGTCTGTGTTGTAAAGTATTGAATTTTTCCAGGAAAGATCTGTACTATTATAATCCTTTGCACTCGAGAGGTGACTCTCAGTAACCATTAGGTTTCACGCACCAAATTTATCAGCAATAATGTTTCTTTAGGTTTAATTTCTTTGGAACTCGAAATGTCAATAAAATGATTGTCGGTGAGATAAAGGTAGTCTGATTCTCAAATCTCGATAGCTTAGCATTCGTGGCAATAGAATGCTAAGAAAGCATCTCGAGTTGCTGGTAGATACTAAAAAAAAAGACCTCGAGTGCAAAGAGATAATAGAGAAAAATGTTTGGAACCTTTCGCTTATACGAATGAACCCCCAAATACTCTTTGCTCAGAAAGAGATACACACTATCAAGCGTTAGCTATTTTATCTACACAGGCTTGAAAATTGTATCTAGATAAGAGTTTTGTTCGTTTCCGATGTAAAATACTGAATGTTTTTAGGAAAGATTCTAAAAAATTCAGAGGCTAGAAAAAAGAGTGAATTGAAACGTAAATAATAAAGAAAAATATCTGAAACCCTTCACTTGAAATAAACTCTCAAATAATGTCCTCGTGATTCTTTGCTACGAAAAAGGCATTCGCCATCGTGTGTTCGCTATTTTATGTACACAGATATGAAGACAGTATCTAGATAAGAGTTCTGTTTGGTTCTGACAGCAATGCACTCACACTCTGCCAGCAGTCGATCGCATTGCTCCTTCTGCTCCAAGAAGAAGCGGTCCATCGACGCGACGTCGGCCTCGGTTTCCGGTTCGATTTCCGTCGCTGTCATCGCGATCCTCGCGAGTTTCCTTTTACAAAGCGAGAAACACCTCAACGTGTCCCGTGGAGACGTCGATAGAAAGCGAAATAATCTCTCAGTGAACCATATTCGGCAACTTTAAACGCGGTAGAAACTCGACGCAGAGACGTTCTAAGCATTCCTGTTTAAGTCCGCGCGACGCGAGCCTTCCGATATCTGGGATTAAAGTGAGGCGACTGGTGAACGCTGATGGCAACGACGAAGTTGTTTACAAAATCGTGCCTCGCCCTCCGTTTTCCTCTTATTATAGTCACCTGGGGAAGGACGGGCTGACCACGAACTGGAAAGAGTCCGCCATGCGTCAGCCAAGGGGATTAACTGTAGCGACGAGCACTCCAAGCTGTGGCTCGACCATTTTCGAAACGTTTCAGAATAGAAGAATTCGGTTCATGTATAGAAAGACTCGCGGGAATAGAAAATACAGGCTAAAACGCTATGGAATCCCGTAACGTGAGCGTTTATATATTTCAAACAAGCGATCTAGAGATAATAAAAGGCTATAGATGCGGAATCGGATGGAAGTTATTTTGGGAACTACTTTGAGAAGCTTTGTGTAAAGATAAGCAGATACACGGGTGCTACAACGAAAAACAAATAAATCTCTGGAGAAAAATACAGAATTATACACTTTACCGAGGAGCAGGGTGGTTATAGATCATGGAACAGAGATCAATTAGTTGATGTGTTTACGTCAACTCTTTTTCATTATTTGTATGCGTCTTTGGGGGCAATTTTGTCAATAACGACAATAATAATGGCGTCTTGTACCTACGTCATAATATGACAAAAAATATCATACGTGATACCATTGAATTTTTCTTATTTTTGTATTGCAACATCTAATGAAACGAACGAAGCCAACATTTGAATTCTATGTACAGGTTGTGTATACGAAATAACATAATTGTTGCAACTTTAAGTTATTAGAAACATAACGCTCGATCAGATGCATTGGGATAGGATAATGAAATTACTTATTACCCAATGTAACACAGTGCAGAAGACAAATATATTATAATAATGTAATCGATTGCCCGCCATGTGCGCCATCCATCAAAAGCTTGATGGCCGATGTATACTCTCGAGTGTATTCACGGTTAATATTGATGGAGCTCGCTATAATATTGCACTCGGTATAAGGTACTGGACAAATCTATTAAGATTGATTTTCTGTAGACAAAAATAAATTGAGCACCGATTTTAAATCAAGTACGAACTAAGTAAGAATGGTAAAAATTAGAAGAAAATTAGTTTCAAGAATTAATAGTAATACATACCTCGGGATAAGTTCTCGTGAAAATAAATCTGGAAACAAGGTGTGACTCGATTGGGAGAGGGGAGATGTTCGAGGGCATCGAAGAACGCTATTTGTATTCAAAATTCGTTTTATGTTAAACTTACACCAACCACGCTATACAACAGATTGTTCCTCGTGGATCGATTCGAGAAATCATCCGCGCGCAGTCGAAGTCGACGCGTTTCTCGGCAGTAATTCTCGTAATTGTATCGGTTCACCATTCAAAATCTCGCACATCTCTATACGCGGTCAAACGTTGGCCAAGCCGCAACGAAACGCATCGGATGATTTTGCGGATCCAATGGGTCGAGCTTAAAAATCACTTCTTTTTTTTACAGCCATCGATGTCGGTAAGTGTCAGTAAGTACAGGACGATTCGTCGTTTCTCTCGCAATCTACGCTCCCGTTCAATTATTTAGCTACGTGTTTTCTTTCGTTTCTGGGCGCCATCGCTCCCTACATAAAAGTGAGTCGCGTATTTACAAATCTCCTCGGCTTTTGTCGCGATAGGCCGTATGGTATTTTGTGTAGCAAAGGGAAAACTCCATTCCAATTATAAGAAAAACGTTTCCCTCCCTTGACACCAGAGTTGGGCAGTGATTACTTTGTGATTACTGTTCCAATAATCACCCACAGTTAGATTAATCGATAATCGTAAAGTATACGTACAGTCTGCAATCATAAATCGGTAAACTGATCGATCATTAATCACGTTCACCGATTGATATTCTGAGATTTTCAAAACGATAAAGGAAACAGTCTCACAAAACTGTTTCTTTTTCTCTTTTTACTGTTTCGAAGATTTCAAATTCCCTCTGACACGTTATCTACGATACGACAGAAGAACTAACATCGTTACAATTTTTATTGTTCAACGTTCACTGATTACTCGGTAATCATAATCATGCATTTTGCCCAACGCTGCTCGAAACCTGCATGTAAAGGACACCAAGCGCGATTCCAAATGGACGATCGACGCTGGATTTAACCGATCCGCGACAACGCCTCTCGAAATTTGTCCTATAAATGCTCTAACAGTGTCTCCTGTCAACTACGAGTAGAAATGAGAGCGAAAATGACGCGTAAAGTAGAGAAGGTAGGAATGCGAGGGTAGGGTGGTAATACGAGACATCAAGGTTCTGATTAATGGCCACTACTGACAGCTGCAGGCACACTTCGAAGCTCGTGTTACAATACTTGCGGTATATCTTCACATTAGAAATATTATAACGTTTTGTAACAAATGAACGTACAACGTTTTTATTCTTATTTCGTATGCCAAATGTGGGATTAGTAAAAACCTTGGCAAATTTTGATAGTGTTACCCGCATGTCGATAAAACTTTTTACAATCATGTATCGCTTTAAAATGAATTTATGTGTACGCAACGTATATCAAATAAAGTTCTCTGTAGTTTCCAATCCACGCCTATTTTGTACCTCTCTAGGTGCAAAAAGCAAAGTGAGAATCTCATATTCCTATCTTCTCTGTTCTTAAAATCCTTTCATAAAACTCCCGCACCCGTTGGTAATGTACATCATGTTTCCTCAATGGCGAATCTTGCTTCAGCAATGGATTCAATATTGGCAAACAATAAGAAATAGTAGCCATTCGTGCGACTTGTTCGAATGATTGTTGAAACAAATCTCGCCAATATCGAAACACCTGTATTGTTTTAATGAACATGAGTGACCAATGAATCATCGATTCGCTAGCGTAAATTGCCTAATGCAAACGACATCGCTCTTCTCCGAATCTTTAATGAATTCTACGTAGAATCTAGACTTGGCAGTTTAAACAAAGAAGCTTGCGCGAATGGCTCCATTTTCTATTTTCGGTGTCGTCCGACGAGATGGTATGCTTGTTCTCTGACGAGACGAATACCAAAGGAATCGAGGTGAAGAATTATGCTCTTTTGTTAAATGTCTTCGCAGTTTAGGGTTTGTACAGGGTGTCTCACGTGACGTCACCGCTCTGAGCATCTTTATTTATACTTTATTAGACTGGTATCTGTGGGATGAGTTCATTCGTTAAATGATTTTCCTATTATTGTGAATTGTAGAGTTCAAGCAAGTTTATTAACAGGAATTAGGATTGAGTTTATTCTCGTGCTTGAAGGCTCAGTGGTATTGCGAGGCTTGGAATATGAAGGCATTGTTATTTGTGGGGATTGTTTTAAATGAAATTTGGGTTAAAAAGATATTCAAAGAGGTGTCGTTAGCCGAGGCACCTGCTATATGGACGCTGTCCAATTTTTGTCCTAAATACCGAACCTGTGAGGGACGATGATACTCTCGGTATCCGAGACACTTAGGAACGGGCACGATGTTTACGCTTGAATCGTGCAACAACAACGATGCAGCATCACGCGCCACGAGTAGATTACAATTGGAAAGGCACTTCGAACGAAAAGTATGGCATCGAGCTACAACAGAGCGTTTACGCGAGACCCGCGCTCGTGAATTCTCGAAATTGACGTTAATTTACCATAGTGTTTTATGTCATGTATCCCATACGATCAGGAGTATCGAGTAGTCCGCGCCCTTTTCCATGAAAACAAGAAAGATGACTGTATTGTGCCTGTGATTCTTTGGCAAACCAGAGAAACGCTCGAAAAGTTCCTTCCCTTCTCTCTTCGTTAAGTAAATCTCCACTAAACTACATCTCCTTTCTAACCCAACCCTTCGTGCCACGCACTCAACGCGAGTTCTCAAGGAATTTAGTCTATCGACTGTTGATCGGTGCTCTATCGTGTCGCCTAGACACGTTCTCAGGAGTATTATTTATTTCTCCACGTCTCTAGGTCGTCTTACGTTTCCCACGTAATCAACGTTGGATCGACGTTGCACCATTGACAGCCCTACCGGTACACGAACGATTACTTGTTATTCGAAATTACAGAAACGTTATCGGGGAACTACCGATATTCGGTGGCTCGGTAACATCGCGCTCGTCACGATCGCGACACGCGACGAGCTTCTGCCATCATGGATGTTACAGAGTGGCACGGAGACGGTATCCAATCGCGCCAGGTGATCCGAAGATGGCGAACGGAATCGCTTCTTGCAACGTTTCCCTTCCAAGAGACCATCGCAACTACGATTCGAATTGAACGATTCAGCGATCAGTTTCGAGCTAACGAATGGTCAGAGACATTTCCCGGGATTCTGAGAACACCACTGGGGCCACATAGCCTCCGTCTTCAATCCCCGACTCGCGAGAAGCTCCATGTGAGCGGCTAGCCTAGTGTACACGTTTTCGTCCGTGGAGTAGCCGTTGGTTGGCATGTCGCTCCTGGAACAAAAGATCAAGACAGGTGGAGGTTAAATAAACAAGTTGTAGAAATACGTATATTGTATTGCAAGAGGATCATGTTATGTCAAATCGGATACTTTTTGGAGTCATGATTGAAATTTCAGACCTGTTCTATATACTACAACCGCCAAAGGCGTCATCTAGACCGTTACCCCCAAAAAATGTCCGATATGGCATGGAATGACACATTTAAAATTGCAGGCTCCTCTCACCATAATCTTTCGGCGAGAGCTGACGCCCTAGGCCATAGTCGAGGTCCTAGAGACGCGTCACCGGTCTGCTCGCTCCAGATCGCTGCCTCCCCGCCGAGAACTAGATTCAGATGCTGCTGAGGGTAATCCCTCCAGGGACGATGATTGTAGACCGTCTGCCAGGTACGGTACTCGCCGCAGGCGGCTTCCCCGGTTTCCCTCCATCTCCCAAAACCGCAGTCCAAGTACCAAGCGTCCACGTGCGACAAGATCACCCTGAATCCATCGTCCAGAAGATCCGTCGTTTCTGGCCAGTTACTTCCGCCCCAAGATTGAATCACGTGGACCTTAGGATCGAAGTACATCGTTATGTAAGGCCTCTTCGTCAATGGAGAACTCCACAGGATCACGGCCTTTGGCGTCTCGTCGCGATTGGCCTTGACCAGCCTCTGCAGCATTTTGGTCTCGAATTCAGCCCACATGGCGTGGTGATCCGTCATGTTCTGCGCCTGCATCGCTGCCGTTATGTTCCCGTACTGTGCCCAGCAGTCCAGGTTCACCTCGTCGCCGCCAAGATGCACGATATCGCGGATCTCGGTCAGGTCCAGCAGCTCCCTGTACAGCCCCTCCAATATTCTGTAGGAGTGCTCGTTGATGGGATTCAACTGGCCGCAATTCGGCTCGCCGCAATACGACGACCATGGCTGTTGATCAACGCAGAGTGCCAGCTCCCCGTATCCGTACTCCGTCCCTGAACGAGGCAAATTGCTCCGTGAACCGTTAAAGGCGACTTCGAGCGCGTTTTTGAACGACTATCGAGGTCAGTAAGACTGGCGAGCAGAGACAATACGGGATAAGGTGATCGAAATAGGCTGCCTTTCTTTTTGTAGAGGCCAAAGTATCGTTAAAAGGATTTAATTTCTTTGATCGTGGAGGATTTATTTATCAGAGAAGTAGAAGTGAATTTGTTCTTTAGTGGTAATTCAGCGGGTAGCAGATATTCATCCTGAGACTGGTTTGAAGGTTCCTCTTAGAGGAGATGATTACTGTAAGTTCTGACACAGAGCTCTAAAGCCTGTAACCTCTTAGTTCCTCTTCTTGGTTCCTCGATCCAGTCAAAGGCGCGGTGATTGTAACAACTAGCCCTTTCATCGTTATGCAATTCATCGAGGACGGGTGCTCGAGAACCCCTTCAACTCTAGTCTCAAGGAGTTTTAAGGAGGTTCTTTCTTGGGTTATTACTTATTCCTGAAGCTTAATACCCAATTATATAACCATTTCTTATAACAAAGATTAGCTAGACTAGCTCTAGCATATCTAGATCAAAACGCCACTACCCAACAAATACACTTCTACTTTATCGAGCAAGAGTTGCTTGACATCAAGGCCCCGCATCTTCAACTCAAAGACCTTCTACTCAAACTTCTATCTCCAAAACTGAGAATAATTCAGTCGATCTGTATCAAGCGCTTCCAACTTTACTTGTGCCAATGTTAGCCAGTCAGCTGTGATTTACGAGTATATTCGTCATGCGTAAAATTTAGTTACCATTGGTTATTTAAGAGTATGTTTCACATATTAATTTGAATAGCAGTATAAGAATTAGGTTGTCCCAAAAGTTTCTTTCGCTTTATTAACAAGTAATACATGCACAATAGTTTATGTTTTATGTTACATTATTGAATTGTGCACGATTCATTTTGCTCCATTACTGTTACAACATGAATATCTATGAAATTAGATTGTCTATTTATATAAACACGACCACATCAAATAATTGAGTGCAACTCGCGAAAGAATCTTTCGGGACAACCTAATATAAGGCTGATATATAGCAGAAGTATAAGTATAAGGCTAATATATAGTTAAATTTAGTTACCATTGGTTATTTAAGAGTATGTTTCACATATTAATTTGAGTAGCAGAAGTACAAGTATAAGGCTAATATACAGCCGTTTTTGCGATCCAATATTACTTTGTATTTGACGACTATGCCTGTCTTAGCTTGATTCTTACGACGCACACAGGTGTGCGCTCTGAAACGAGAACGCCACAGCCGACTGGTTAAATCAACCCGTTTCGAAACAGTGGAGTGCCAATTTAAAAAATAAATTCCCCATAGCTCGGCAAAAGCAGATCCAGGATGTACAAAGGGTCTCCCAGACGATTGTTACTTTCACGATCAAAGAACGCCACGAACCGCTTTGATCCCTGTCTGTCAGTCAAAGGTTAACGCTTCCGTTTCCTTTCATCTTCTTGACTGGACCATCGAGCAAAGATTCTCAACTCACCCCATTGCCATCCAGCCCCCGCGTGGGCAGGAGAATCGATCTCCACCAGCACCCTGATGCCGCGGATCCTCGCGTAATCCGCTAGATCCTTGACGTCGTCGGGCGTGTAGATCTGATCTCCGCTGTAGGCGCCCCATCTGGCCATTTCGGGGAACTGAGCCGAGTCGAAGGGAAAACTCTGCGAGTCGGTGAGGTGCCAATGGAACGTGTTCAGCTTTGAGGCAGCCATTCCATCGATCACTCGTTTCAGTCGTTCGACGGGGAAGAACTGCCTGCCAGTGTCGACGAGGAGTCCTCTATAGGGAAACGTTGGCTTATCCTCCACGGAAGCGCGAGCCAGGACCCTCAGAGCACCCTCCCTTCCAGCGGTTTCGTCCCACCAGATCATCTGTCCAAGCGTTTCCAAACCATGCCTCGCTCCGAAGTAACTCTTCGCGGTTATTCGACCCTCCAAAATTTTTCCTTTGGGTATCAGCTCCAGAGTGTAGGACTCGTCCGTATCCAAACCTGGTCCAACCGGTCGGGAGCTTCCAGCGCTTATATATATCACGAAACTGTCCAAACCTGACCTGCTCTTTGCGTTTGCTACCTTCACCAGGCTCCTCACGTTTCCTGAAACATATTTTTCGTTCACGTTAGAAATATCCCATGCATGAATAAGTAACGAGTTTCCCGAAACAGTTCTCCGTTCACTCCAAGTTAGTCGCGAGGCTACGTTAAATATAGAGTAGCTTACGTGTCTGATCTAAAGTCCAAGTTAATCGTACGATCGCGTTAGATGTAGGTCAGATTTATGCCTTCGTTAGGGATGGATTAGGTCTGGGTTAGATTCGTGACCCGCGTCCAAGTCTATCGATTCGCGTCACGAATGTGTCAGGCTTCTAAAGATAAATTCACGTCGTACGCTCACCGATGAAGACATCCTTGGCGTGCTCCAACAGATTCTTCGTTTCATGATCGTAGGTGTTGATGGTGACGAGCTCTATCTGTTGGTGGTGTATGATGATGCTGTCCTCGCCTAGAAGAACGTTTCCCGTAGGTCTGGGCCAAAGCAGTCGACTGTTTCCGCCGCAAAGAGCGATGCAGCTTGCCAGAGAGGTGCGCGAGGATCTCACTGCTCTCCTCTCGCAGCGGCCAGATACGCACGCCCAGGACCACGGGCTCTGAAACGTCCTGCGATCCGCGAAACGGGTATAAACATTTCAGAATTTTCAATTGTCCAACTGTCACGCCAGCGATTGGTCGCGTACGATCATTTACGAGAACGTGCACGCGTATACTGAGTTCACGGCGATAAGGGAGGCTATAGTCGGATTAAACTTGATCTTGGTTCGTTCAAGGCCACCTCCCCCGCTACTAACCACGTTAGATGCTAGTCTTATCTTTGTAGTTGCTCGTCTGCATCGATGCATTAGGTAGAAGCGTTGAAAATTAAGCAATATCTTTGTGCAAATCCAGATTCAGTTCGCTCACTGGCCTTGAGCATTCACCAAATTTTGCTCCGACTATAGCGCTTCACTTATCTCTACAGAATCGACCAACGAGCTGAGAGAAGCGGAATGAGAATGCATAGTAAAGAACAGGTGGTTTGCATACTATTATTTGGTAGTTAATGGCAGTTAATACTGTTTTATCTTCCTAGTGGTTCTCGATTCGAGTCTCAAGGACATCGAGCCACTCCATGATTATTTTCGATTTCTTTCCCGTCGGCTTTTGACAATTCGCGACGATAAATGAGTAAGAGTAGGGAGAACAGTGGGTGGCATACAAAAGCTGTACACAAACTGTAATTAAAAATGTTTATATACATAATGAACAGACGCAGCGAGTTGAGTGTAAGTTATTGGTGGACGGAGAAGGAAGCACGCGCTAGAAAGGGTGTAGAGCTAATATACTGAATGCTTTATCGTCGAAAGAATAAATTGAGGAGAGTAACCTGTTGCCAGACTAGATTAAATACTGCGAGAAGAGAGGAGAAAAATTGGTAAAGCCAGAAAACCCTAACAGAGCGGTTTTCGAAATTACTTCATTAATTACTTCAGCATCAGTATCATCATACATTTACCTAACGATTTTTCTTTTTTTTTACTCAGATGATACGTTGTTAGACCAATTAAATTTGCCCACCCAGGCTGAACGTGAGATAACAAATATGCTAATTACTATTGAAGGCGTATGCCATTTATTCTAACTTGAACGATGGTTTCTTCGTGTAATACGCGTTTCCTGTTTCTCGACGAATGTGGAGATCGCAAGAAAATGGAGCAGAAGAAACGCTGAACGAGACACAAACAGAGTGATTGGAACATTTCTCGGAAGATGGAGAGCAGAGCTCGAACAAGAAATGGAAGAGGATCAAACTGGTAACCCAGTCGCCTTTGTAAAACAACGTGGAACATACACCGCCATTGAACAGATAACATCGAGCTAATAAATATTCATGCGACGCAACGGCTATTTGCAAGTAGTAACGTCAGTCTCGTTACGCCACTGCGATACATCCAATCAATTTCGAGTAATACATCGTTCTGAAAAGTGACTCTTTGCGTTCGCGATTCGTTAATAATATTGTCACGGTCCGGTTATAATTTATTGGCGCATTACCCCATCCCTCTGGCACAAGTAACTCGTTCGGTGAGTTTCAAGTGCAACTTTTACGCAAAGGAAGTTGAGTAATTTTCGAGTAAAGTAATTTATGTGAGGCTTGCATTCTCTAATTATTTCAAGTAAAAAAAAAACATTTACGAAGATGGAGAATCTTTAGGAAACGAGCAATAGTATTTATAACATCCTCATCTTCGCGATTTCAGGGTATGTCTGTATTTAATTACATCCTCATCAGTTCCAATCGCTAAGATACGATCCATGGAATATTTAGACAAACCAGAGAATGGAGGAAGTAGAAAATCTCCACCACCGACACAGTCAAATCTATCTCGGATCGTTGACTGTCTTCACCCCGTCAAACATCGTCGAACAATGTTCAAACGAACAAAGCCAGCCTTGTGGCCTCGTCGTGGGCTACCTTATAGATCCCTCCTTGTTCGTTCGCAATCGTTGATCGACGATTAAGAACGTCAGCCAGATCGTCGGAGAGAAACAGAGAAGGAGTGAATTCAGCGCTGAACATGCAGGAGACCCGTGGGGAAAGCAGACGTCGAGCTGGTGCCCTAGACGAGTTCAAAAGCGAATGAGAGAAATCTTCGTTCCATGGGGTATAAGTTCGCGTATGAAGGGTGGTGCGGAGATTTCAGGAACAAAGAAAGGTTTAGCAAGTATGGGTTCACCCCTCGGCGAGGGAGACGTTACCTAGGCTCTTCCAGATACTCGTAGAGCCGTTCCTCCGGTCTCTTCGTGCTTTCATTACCGACCAGGAAAGTAACCAAGCCTCGTTGCAACTCCTTCAGTCTTTGATGCGCACAGAGTCACCGGAAGTGCGAGGTAATTAACAAAAAATGAAAAAGAAAACAGAAAGATGGCGGTAACAAAAGTTTCAACATGTGGCTAATAAAACAGTTGATCGCGGGTCGAAACGTTTTGAATGTTTAGGTGGCGAGGAGGGAACCGACACTGGCGAGAGACAATCGAAATCTTGCGTTCTTTGGTCGGTTGGATGGGAATCGCGGATCAATTAGATTCTCGGACAGTGGCGAATTAAGGTTCAATCGAGGCGTCCAACTGAGATTAACTCTTTGCACTCTGCTGGCGCCACTGCACTTAGGGGGCAGACGAACACTCCATTTCAACGAATTTAAATCGAATCAACTCGAGGTTTCTTGAGTCTCTAGCTTAAGAGTCGGCTTACAGCTCTAAATATGATTTCTAGTAACCAGACACCTTGCCTTTGCATTTATACTAACCGAAATATTTAGTGGACCATGGATCAAATTTTAAGCATTCGTAAATTTGTGTCAGAAGATCAGTTTCTATTTTTGGAAGCGACTTGTGTTCAACGCTGTTAATCGCTCGAATTATCAAAATATCGGAGTGCAAAGAGTTAATAGGTGACGAGAGGGCAAAATGTAGACACTTATGGACACGCACGCGTTGTAATGATGTACTCACCGTCGCGACGAGAAGGGCTGAAGTGAAACAAGCGGCGGAGCGTGTGCGTACATGGCGATGAGAAGGACCCCAGTCAGCAGGACTAGGAAGAGGAGAATTTTCCTCATCCATCCGCTGGGCACGCTACCCACCATCCTGGCGAGCCTGGAACAGACGAAATGATACTTCAGTTATGCTACGGCCAGCAAATACTGTCCGCTCAAGGGCTATCCCCCTCTTTCATGCTAGGTGGATCCACTCGCTGAGTTTGAGAGACAGCACAGAAGGGGTCAAGGTCTAGAAATGGGTAAATCGAATATTCGTGATGGGATATTTCATGAAATGGAGAAAATCTCCCAGCTCTATTCCTGCTAAATTCAATGACGAGCAATTTCGAAATTAACCAGTCAGCTGCATTGGACGAGTATACTCGTCATGGAGAAAATGCAGTATTTTGTATACTCGTCATGCGTAAAATTTAGTTACAGTGGGTGTAGAAAGTATTCGTACACCGATCAATTTCCAATAAAACTATGTGAAATTGTAATTTATTAACTTCTTCTTTATAAACAATGATATTTTATATACTCTTGGAAATCTCTAGAATGGATACAGTACAACAAAAAAACAGTTATTTATATAAGTTGCGAAATTAACAAGAAAAAACATAAATCGATGGAAATATAGAAGCAATAAGTATTCGTACAACTGTTTAATTTTTAAAACTTCACAAAAAAAAAAACAAAATTTACATTAATTTATAAATAATTAATACTTCGTGGGATTTTGCTTTTGATTTTATAATTACTGCTACTCTTTTAGGCATTAAATTACCTAAATGTCGATGTTATTTGGAGTGGGATTTTCTTCCGTTTCTCTGTTAGAGCCATTTTTAAAACTACTTTACTGAGAATTGAATGTTTTCTAATTCGTACAAAGCAATAAACTAATGTGTTTATGTTACAAACTCTACTGTAAATGATTCGTCGTAAGAATCGTACAAATACTTATTGCTTCTACATTTCTACCAATTTTTCGTATTTTCTTGTTAATTTCGCAAATTATGTAAGGCAGTAATTGTTGTTTGGACATACTATATCTATTCTAGAGATTTCTAAGAATATGTAGAATATCATTGATTATATAAAAAGAATTTAAAAAACCACAATTTCACACAAAAGTTTTTTGGGAAATTGATCGGTGTACGAATACATTCTACACTCACTGTAGTTTAGTTTTTCGTTTAATATGTACGTAATATAAATATGTTTATGTTAACCAAATAAGTAAATATCAGTAACAAAATTGTCAATTTTATAAAATAAACCCATCGTTTTGATCCAATATTTGAACAGCGACGTTGCGATAATTGCTTCAAATGCGCTCTCAAAAGGCGGCGCCATAGCTGACTGGTTAACTAAACACTGCACTGACTTTTTCAGAATGAAAATAGACACTCCATCACTTCCTAAACAAACAGCATAAAAGACTGCGAACTTGCGTTAATTTTCTTAACATTCTTGCATCGTGCTATTTACACCTCTTTAGGAGTTTGCTTCGTTTTCTTCGTTTCTTCGTTGATTCAGAGCCACACAGAGCAAAATATTACGACACCCTCTTTAACAAAACCCAAGAACTTTCTACGAGACCGGACATTTTACCAGCGCCACTCTCGAGTATCATGAACGAAGCCATACACCGCAAATCCTTCTAAATCTGTTTAGGTTGAAAACAGGATAGCTTCAACAGGGATTTGAACTTCATCCTGTGCTAAGTATTTAACAGCGTTAGCAAACTGATGGCTCACCGCGAATACTATAAACTCGGTGAATTCTAATGCTCGATCCTTGCCAATCGGTTGAAAAGAAGCTTACGAGAATGAAAAGGGAGGCCAATTTATTCGAGCAGTGTCTATGCCCCTCTAATTTATTTTATTACTGTACGAAACTTCGGAGTTGACTTAAGAGGTTAGTCGCAGTCAGGAAAAAGAAAACGGACACTTTCTTGTGTGTGTGTGTGTGTGTTTTTTTTTAAGGTATTAAATAATAATTTTTATTAATGAAATTTAAATATATGACAAAATATGTCTTAAAGAACTATAAACAAATTTTTGTTTTAAAAGAAGGTTAATTCATTTCGTCATAACAGGTGGAAGATTTCTCCAAACTGGTATACCTGAAAACAAAAATAAAGGTAGATTTGGAGAATATATTAGACTAACGAGTCCCTGATCGAAGGATTTTGGAAAAAATTAATTTAAAACAAAGTGACGTACATTTGAAGTTGAAGTTCAATTTTCATTATAAAATTAAGTGATTAAATAGAGAATAAAAAGAAAAGTATATAAGAAAATAAAAAATCGATCAGGGACCCGTTAGTCTAATATATTTTCTAAATCTACCTTTAGTTTTGTTTTCAGGTGCATCAGTTTGAAGAAATCTTGCTAACCGCAAACCAAGTGGCCACCCACGCCATCGCCTGTTATGACGAAATGAATTAACCTTTTCTTAAAACAAAAATTCTTTTATAGTTCTTTAAGACATACTTTGTAATATATTTACGTTTCATGAATAAAAATTATTATTTAATACCTTAAAAAAAAACACACAAGAAAGTGTCCGTTTTCATTTTCCTGACTGCGACTAACCCCTTAAAAGTTCCACAAATAAATAATTTGTTCTCGCTAGAAGTGACCTCCTGGTGCAAAGGATTGATAGTCCCTATTTCCAAAGGAAAATTACCTGTCGAAGTGGTAGAACAGGAAGGAGTCGAAGTGGATGACATTGCTCGATCTAGGTGGTAGCAGGTAGCCGTGTCTCGAAACTACAGGCATCGACCACGAACGGAAAGCGACCTGTTCCGTAGTTTGGCTCTAACCAACCGAGACTAACTCGTCCCGACCACTATTGCGTATCGATAGACTGAAGTTTTCGTGTTAACGAACAACCGTAGGCCGCGAATCGATTGGGACAACCTGTACGATAGATTGGCTCGAAGGACAAGCGGAAGTTTCGCGGTAATTTTATGCGAACACGAGGGTACGCCGCGACGCGTGGCGTACCCTCGGGACGCAGGGGGATGAAAAATTGAGCAGTAAAAACGGAAACGCGTGAAACTGTTACCCAGATACACATTTTGAGTAACCTGATGCATGGCTCCAATTTGGGGCCAACACGATGCCAGTATCGACTAAACGATTACGAAAGTTGAATACTTTATGATCGTAAGGCACGTTATATGAAAAACAGTAATACGTATCGATCACTGTGCTTCGGTAGTAATTCAAGTTCGAAGTATGGTTGTTCAGAGCATTTCAGTCTGAGGGAGGCTACTCGAAACTTGCGTTTGCAAGGATTTATTGTTCTTTGTCAAATTGCTATCGAAACATACATGGAATATGTATATTCCGATGTACTCTATCTGGAAAAGGATCTCGAAAACTAACGTTACAGGGAATTCTTTGGATTCAGATTTTTGGACTGGAATCGTTTCTTGCGCGAATGTAAGTAGACCACAAGGCTTGCAAGTATTTGTCTCGTCGCGATGACCACAGAAAAGGAATTGCGAAACTCGATGAATCTTTCCTTCTCTTTGTTCTTCGTCAACCGTCTGGCCAAAAACCGCGAATTACTTTCGTAACCAGCGTATTGTGCGACACGCCTTGAGGGGTCGCGAGACCTAATTGCACAAAAGCGCCGTTCCCGAGCGTGAGTCACGTAACGCGTGTCTCGCGAGCTCCAGCGTGTATCGCGATAATAAGCCGTCTGCTTCAAGTGAAAAGCTTCCGCGTGTTCCCTGTTTCAAAAATCTTCAGATGATCACTGCTGCCTGGCGGCCTTAATTTCGAAACGCGTAGTTGGCTCGATACACGTGGAATGCCTAATTAAAAGCTGTTGATGCGAAATTAATTCTAGGACATTGATTTATCGACCTACGTTGACAAAACACTTTTACTCGACGGTAATATACGATCTTTGTTAGATTACTTAACAGTGGTACAGTGGATTGTGCGTAAGTGTCACTGGAATTGAATGGGACAGTGACACTTATGAAACAGGGGAGGTGAAATTCGATCGGAGAGGCTAGTGGAATAATATTCACATAGGGAATCTCCTATAGGGTAACTAGAATTTAATTAATAAGCCTGTCGTTCCAAATCTCCAAGGTGCAGGGCAGAAACTCGTTAAGGGCGTCGTAAAGGATCGATTTTTATTGTCCTTCGACCGTTTTCGACCCCTTTAATAACCGTATGCACCCCACCTTGCAAATGAAAGCACTCTAGCTTCTAAGCCAACAATACTGAGTGGTAGGGATAACCACGCGACACCTACGCAACCGATTTTCGCTGTAGAAGGTGCTAACGCATAAAATCCATAGTCTACTCGTTCCAATAAATTCTATTATGACTTCTGATCAAAATTAAGCTTCGTTAATTATCGAAAAAAAATAAATAAATTGTGAATCGTGGCACAGGAGTGACGCCATAGAGTCCAGTCCAACCCTTTCACCCTAGCTGCACCTTGGCCCTGTTCGTCTCGCTTCGTCCTAGTTCCACGTCAGCCGTAGACGTCCTACCGCCTCGTCCTGGTAGGCGTCGCGACGCTTCGCGGCGTGCGCCGACGGTAACGTCGCGTCGACTGGAATCGCGTGGCGTAGCCAGGCAACGCGCATAATATGACCGGCCGTAATAGTTTCAAACGAAACGGTTGCCGGAGCGGATCGGGGGTTTCGAGGGTTTTTCGCGTCGCGACGCGATCCCTCCGATTTTTTTACGTCGCTGCGATCGACGAAGGACGAACGAGACCACGTGACACCAGTGGATTTCTTTTGAAAAAATCGTGGGAACGCTCGAAAAATGAACAAAATTTCATTCGAATCTATACGCGCCTAATCAATCCATAAGGGTAGGTATTCGTTGTACTTCTCTTTTCTTTTCAAAGTATATGTTTTGAGAGAATTATTCTTCGTCTGAATGTTTATTTAGCGATAATCGATGTAGTCCGATTTTGTACAATGTTTGCAGTTTAGGTTACTCTGTATCGAGCCTTGTTCTACTTTTAAACGGAAAGCTATTATTAAGTACGAGAAAGCGAGCGAAACTTCTTTTCCTCGATTTTATGTTCGTTGTCCTTTCTACGTTTCGACCCCGATTCCTGTTCGGAGATAAATGAAATATATAATTCACAAACAATTCCTCACTTTTTACTTTTTTCGTTCGGTTATTCGAAGTGTTTGTCTAGATAAGAATAATGCCCGTCTGCACACTTACACTCGCCACCGTAAATAATGCCGCATTCCCATTTGCAATCGCGCGGAACACCGTGACACAATTCGATAAATGAGTTCTTTCGCTGGAATCGGCACCGTAAAACGTGAAACGTGAAACGTCGAATCGTGGGATTCGCAGAACAATATATATCCTGGACTGTGGTTCGCTCTGGAGAACACTCGTTTTAGGCTCCGTCCGCAACGACGTGGATTGCGACCTGGATTCTACTGAGTGATCTAGCCTATAGGGACCGACGGTTTAGGAGTATACTGTTCCTCCAGAAATGTGCTAAAGTGTCCTGTTTATCGATCCTGGCCAGGGATCAAAGACGGGGACGGAAAATAATTTATTCGATACAGTAAATAACGAATAAAAGTAACGTACGTTCTTTGTGAAATATTCAAGCTCTGTGTGTTTCTCTTATTCGCAATGCCATATTTATGCATATCTCTCAAGCACGGCACAAAAGAGGACGTCGAATGCCAAGGACGAAAGAAATACTCTACAGTGATATTAATAATTGGAGAATTGTCTATTCGCGTAACGTGGTCGTTCAATAAAACGTCCAATAAACGCTGGAAAAATTGTTATACCGGTAATTGTTTCACGCTCATACTTTATCCATACGATTATTTAGACAGTGCGTTTGGATGAGGTGATTAGATATCAACCGAATGTTTTCGTTCGACAGAGAGAAAACAATCCAGAACTAAAAATTGCGAGGAATGACTTGTGTAATCGTTAAACACTGTCTGTTTAACATTGATAGAGGCAAGCTGCCAACTTTCATAACATTTGCTATTAGGTTAAAAGTTTCATCAATTGAGTAAGCTCAGCATAAATCGATCGTGTGCCCGTGAAGGCCGCAACAAATGGCGTAGAAACTAGCGTGGTATAAAGAAGCTGTTTTCGCTCGATCATCCACCATAAATACCATGCGTGCAATATTTTTACGACATCTTTCATCGTTATACAGCAAACTTTTGAGTGTTTTGCGAAATATTAGAAAGTAAATATTAACTACAAGTAGCTATTAGAAAACAGGTATCTGAGCTAATAGGAAACAGCAACTTGTAGTATAAATATTTAAAAAATATGTACTTGGAAGGCAACGAGAAACTGAAGATGAACAAAATCCTGATAGCGTACTACCGGTACTATTTTAATAGCACGTCAAGGAGTTAATAATGCATACATTCAAGATCGTTTCCCACCGAAGACACGCGAATGAAACTAGGACGTACAGCGTATTTTAATATCCATGAAATTCTTTGCATTCGCTCGAAGCCTCCATTCACTTCGCGCCAATAGAAATTTCTTCTGTCGCGCGGTGCACGAGTCTGTATCAGTTTTCCTCGATCTGGCTACATTCACTCGCATCTATTTACCCACTTTGCATATTACATCTACTCCAGCCAACTACACGAGACTTTATTTCAATTATTTTCTAAAATATAAAACGCTGGCTTTCGATGATAGCTCGCGCGAAAACGATGAATAATTTGAAAGCAAACTGCTAAGAAGTAATCTGCTTTGTGAATCGTTCGAACGTCAGGAGAAGATGCTGACTAATGGCGTCGAGGGCGCGAAAGTAGAGATCAAAGGCTAAAAGCGAAAATTAAAATTCCGCAGGTGGAGGCATGCGACCGCAGCGAGCATTTCGACCGTGGAAACCCTGGGGGATTGAAGATCGAATAATTCGATGCAAATTCGCTGGGGAGACATCCAGGATATAGAATACGGTGTCAAACTTCCTTCGGCGTTTGAAAATGTCCCCCGGCCCGAATCCACGGACCAAAAGGTAAGGGGTGGCTTCGCGCGAAGCTTTAAGGTTGAATTCACCATAAAGGACGTGATCGATAAACTACAAGTCTCGAAAAGGTCCCTGGTCGCTACTTTTCCGAGTTGTCCTCGGTGCCCTAGGAACATTTCGCGTTCGAACCTTTTTAGGATTGTATCAAGCCTGGGGTCAGGTGAATAATTTGATATTTCAACATTTTAAAGTCATTGTACGTGAGTATTTGGATACTGAATTATAATTGAATCCAAAGACGTTGTTCTCATGTTCTCAATATGAATTAGAAAGCCTCACGAAAGAAAATATTTCACAAAATGTCACCATTCGCCATTTACAACCATTCCTCCAACAAAATCCCAGGTGCCACAAAGGTTCTCTTTGTTGGAGTCGATCTTTATAGTTCCAGCCAGTAGGTAGCGAGTTATGGTCGATTGTGGATCTTTGTAAACGCTGAAAATGACAATTCTAGGTCCACGTTCCGGAGAATGGCTGTGTTGGCCGCTATCGAGGTCAATTCTGCCAACAAACGGAACGCAACGAACGTTTCAGAGGACGTGGCCATCTTGCCAGGATACAATGTCACCACCACGGCTAGCGGTGCAGCTAGCAAGACGAGCCACTTTGAGACGGATTTGCATGGGAATGTTAACATTCTTCTCGGTGGGTGAGTAGCCGCTATTCATAACAGATATCCGATATCGCTGCGAGCAGCGATTGGAATCCATTCGAATTGGATTAGCCTTAGAACGTCACGCTTCGATACAAAAACTAACAAGTTCTTTTTAACGTGAGAACGATGAAGATAGAATTTGAATACACGAGTGAAAGGAATGGACTCCACGCTGAGTGTAGCCCTGTGTGGCATTCTAAGGTCGAAAGAAGTTTCTTCTGTAGTCTTTCAACTTCCTCGCGAGTACAGGGTGAGCCACCGAACACTGCCGATGTTTCTTCCCTTAATTACATTCCACAGAATATCCTCGCAGATCTCACGGACGGAGCAAAGAAAAGATAACATCCGGCAAGATGTTTAGCCTCCTTTCCGTGGTATAGACGGTGTTTACAGAGTAAAGATCAGTCCCTCTCAAACTCGATTAGCATAAGAGCCTCGCTCGGGGCAGCAGGTCTCCTCAAACTTCCATAACTTATCCTAAATACGAAAGACTAACACAAAAAATGTTACTATACAAGCAACACAGCGTAGCTCGCAGTTACGCTAAAAAAATAAAAGAAATCACCGAGGAACTTGTTTAATGTTTTTATCATCGACTCTTCGCTTTAGTGTGAGAAATTATTTTTCAATCTTGGCGTTAGCTATCTTTCGATGGTTCGAGAGACCGTGTGTTTCGTGGCCATCTTGGGTTGATAAACGGATAGATCGATAGGTATGTAAAACAGCTGAACGAACGCATCTTTCTCCCCGGCACACCGAGTAAAACCTGTTATGTACTTTATTTTCTAATCGCAGTAAATCTTTTACAATTAATACCCGTGTAACTTCAATTTTTCATACCTCTAACAGAACTCGAGGAACACTCAAATACAACACAACAATAAAACTCCATAAAACAGATCAAAACATAGCACAATGCATCGCACGAAAAGAATTCTCGAACCGTTTGGAGATTTATTTTGTTAATGTTACAGGGGAAGATGGAAGAAACTAAATGGTTTCAAGCGATAGTAGAAACAGTATTCAAGTGAGAAATAGAACAAAGGCAAACAAAAAGAGGGAGAACTATTCGAATAACATTGAAGTTATGTAATACAAAGATATTTGCAAACATTTTAAATTCTTTCTTAAATAATTCCCTTAGGTTCGAGATCTTTAGTGACACTCGCGGGTTGAAAAAGGTTGAACAGGATGCGAACCCGTCACCGCAATAATCACGGGAACAACTATACTACGGTAACCGTAAACCTTTAATAGAAACGGCGTCGTAAATAACAACTACAAATCATCGGTTCGCCTGCCTTCGTGCCAAGCTCGAAGCGCAACAATTACCTGGACAAACTATAAATCCGCCGACGCATTCTTTCCTTCCCGCGAAATTCCCCGAGGTCACGCCACCTTTTTGTACTCCACATTTCGCAAAGAAACGCTCAACGAACAGGATGATATTGTCCTCGAACGGTACGATACTGGAAACAACGTGTAAAAAGAAAGTCAAACTTTAATACTCGAAACCACAGCGTCGACACGCTAGGGTGTAGGTTCAATTTTATTCCAAACGTTTTCGAAGGGGCACTCGAACTTTCTAAAACACGTAATTTGTAGAAGATAGTTCTAGAAATGGATCAATATTTTTCTTTGGGCGATGCAACGTTGGGGTCTGCGTTTAGAAAATATCAAGTGTCAACACTGCACACTCGCAGCCCTAGACTTAGGACTTCAGAATTTTTTCTAATAATATTTATCTTTTCGCTTCAACATTTAAGAAACGTGAATTTTCGACACTTAACACTGGTAGTACTCCGGCTACTAAATATTTTAATGCCACGATATAGAACTGCTCCATTTTTTCACGACTGATAAATAAAAGATATCGAGTAGAGCAATCGCGGGGGCAAAGCATCGAATTTACGGCGACTCACTCTGTCCAGGTAGAAACCAGCGGACCTATCGCGTTTTGCAAGCTTGATAACACGGCAGACTGAGCCTTAATATAACGTGGAGCGTCTTGGCCGCGGTTGATGCGCGCTAAATATACGCCCCGGTCGACGTTCTCTCACCTATGCTCTACATCTTCCTACGAACTCTGTTTTTCAGAGCGATGCTCAGCGGCGTGATTATGGTCGTCGCCCTTATGTGTTACTGTTGCCACAAGAGCATGCGGAAGAACCGACCGCAAGAGTACCCACAATACTGGAGGACAGAATCGGACGTCCACAGCCTCGAAGTGTTCACAACGGAAGCCCACGCTACAGTGAGTCAACCACCTTAGTGGGCAATAATTCACGCATCGTCGCGACTAATTGCTCGTTTTTTCCCCTCCCTAACCTTTTCCTCCTGTAGTTTTTGCTTTGGAGCCACATAAGTGTGTAGAGTTATCCTAGCGAAAATTCGAGAATATTTTTCTCAGATTTGAATACATACTTCGGTCGAAAATAAAGGGTAATTTTATAGTACAAGTGTCGCAGCTAACGTATGAATTGTTTCGTTAAGATACTTTTGTTTGAAACATTTTGTCGTGCAACGAATACCTTACGAATTATTTGAGGTCGTTATGTTAAAAGACTCACTCTGTATACAGTCAGACTCGATACCGTCTATGTTTATTGAAGAAATTTGTTTAAATTAAATTATAGATTTATTTCCAAATAAATGTCTTATTATAAATACGTACATGAATCAATTTTACACGTGTGTACATTTATAATGAAACATTTATATGGAAACATCAAGACTATCATTTAATTTAGACTTTTATGAGACTGGCTTGAAATCTTGAAAAGAAATATGAAAAGAGCACCGAGCTTGTTCGAGACCTACATATACTCGACGGACTTGATGCGTTATAGCTCCCATTACTAGTAACTATCCGAGACTACCTAAGTCACTCGTTCGAACAACGAAAAATAAACTCGAATTACTACGTTTGTTTTGCGAACGTCGCGAAACCAGTTTGCCAACGGTTCATCTGACATATATCAATTTCCATGGTTCAACGCGTAACGAACATAAAATGCGAACGCAACGATGTAAAACGTAACTGGTTCGCCTGTGTACACAACAACGCCACCAATTGCGGTGAAATCGTTTGCGGTTTCGCGTAAAATTAGTAGGACTAGCGATCGGAGAGCCTCCTTTCACACTTCGCTCGGGCTTGGCATATTTCTTACCGATCGAAGAGGCGTTCCAGTTTCTCCTACGGGTATCGGTGGACTAGCGCGTGGCCGTGTAATTTAGAAAACTTCAGCGTATAACGATCCAGCTCCAACCGTCCATTTTAAAACCTTTTCACTGCGCGATTAAATAAGAATCACTGAGAGTTCTGCGATCAAGGGACGTTAACGTACAAGCAAATTAGATTTCGAATGGTCAAAGTCTCAACGATCGTGTTCAAATTATCACTGTGTGGACGTCATCGACATCTCGATCTGAGTGATCGATATATAGGTACTTAACTCCTGGATAATCAGTAGATAGTAAATGTCTACGTAAATGATTCTTAATTACCGTGTCTGATTGTTAATACCTTGTACAAATGTTATTAAAATAGAGGAACAAATTTAGATGTCTATTAAAACTGCCACAGTATACTTCATCGATCCATGAACGACCATGCTTGCGGTAAAAGGTTGACTATAAATATATTTTAAACGTTCCGTCTCTGTCATCCGACTCTCATTCATAAAACATTACAGGAAACAATCAATCTGAAAATATTCTTCAGACTGATCTTCCTGAATAAAACACAGTGAAGAGCAAAACGTCAAGTTGAAAATCTTTTTCTTCTTCAGGCTTATGCTTGTCCTCTGTAAGGCATAGTAATCTGACGATCTTCTTTTACTCTTTCAGATTGATGTTTCTTCTTCTTCGGCACAGCCTTGTACAAACATTAGACTGTAGGCCTTTTCATAAAATTGAGCAATGTTTCTCGTAATAACTTTCTTTCAAACAATCAACCTAAGAAGGTCCAAATCGATGTCCACTTACAATCAGCCTTCCACTGAATCCTCGCGCGTAATTTAATCCTTTCAACGCTTTATAGAGCAGAACTTCCTGGGCATTTTTTTCACTTTTTTTGTGGATAAGCGTAGAAACTTAAAAATACAAAATTCCCGCCCTTTCCTTAGTGGTAACACTGAGTACCAGTGACCTATAAAGCGTTAATGAAATTCTTCTGTCTTTAGTGCTGCGAGAGACAATCAGCCACGGAAGGACACGTGGACGAGAGTACATACGGAGCTCCCTCGTGTCCCGTGACCCCCAGCCCTCGACCAGGACCACCACCGACCTACGACAGCCTCATCTTCGATCGTAAGAGTCTGCCCGTCAGCATCGACAAAAAGTTGGACGGTCCTGACACACCTGGTACCATAATTCCTTCCATGGTGTCCACGCTTCTAGGGCTCGCGACTTCGCCTGTGATATCCACGGAGTGCAACGAGTCCACGGAGCAAGAAACGTCCGCAGTCGACGAGGGTTTGCCGTCTTACGAGGCAGCTTTAAAGTTGGACGCCAATGGTTACGTCTAATCGAAGGCCACGCCTAGCTTCTAATCAGGGAAGCAGTGAATTTTACGATTCTTCGAATCGATTACGGTCGATTCCCTTTGGTGGTTGCGCTCCACGCGTTTCTTACGCTCCGACGAACGGCTGAAACGATGGAGGAGGGCCGAGGGAGCAGGAACAATGTTGGGATTGGTTCTAATTCTTGACTTCGGTTCTCTGGAGAAGTTAAACGAAGAAAGAGCTTCATCGACCGATGCTTCATCTTCTATATTCTAGTCCCTGCTTAACCTTTCGAGGACGGGTGCTTGCAAATAAGAAAAAAAGAAACTGTTTAGGCAAATGAATTGGAGTTCTGTATAGGAAAATGGTGAAAATAGAGCTTTCCTTGGGAGAACACAACCACATTTAAAAAAAAAAAAAAAGAAGAGAGAGAGAGAGAGAGAGAGAGAGAGAGAGAGAGAGAGAGAGAAATTGATGAGGATAAAATTAATAACGAATGAAATTTATGGTAAGCTGTATTCTAAGAGGCCATGGACTGAAATTTTGCATTGCAAATGTGTACCATGTTTGTTATTAATCATCGAGGGCTTAATTGGCGACTGTGTTATCGACGGAATATTTATATCGATCGTTCAAGTGATTAACAATAAGTGGCTTTCAAAGACCTTCAAAAATAATCATAAATGAAAAATACGATCTGCGATAAACATGTTAACCACGTACCTCGTGGCCCCTAGTGAATCTGCTAATATTGAACAATTTCTTTTGCACGGCAATGTAAATTTGTGTAAATAAAGAGCCAGAATTAGTGACTACTTCAACGCTGTAAATTCCCGCTGATATTTTTACACCTCTCGAAATGAATTCCCGTGTCTTTACCTATCTGCACTAAAAACAGAATTTAATTCGTATATTGAATGAACAGAAACTCTGATTTAATGATTGTTATTCGCTCAACCACGAACGTAATTTGATTGTTGAACAAGTAACCTATTTAATTTAGCTATCTTTTATTCGTTATTCGAAACATTTAGACGAAGAAAATAACTAATCTTAACCTTCGACATGCAAAGGCCATTTTAGTGGTCCTTGACTGCGTCGTTGACCAGCTTAAAGAGACCACTTTGGAGAGGTCTGAATTACTCAGGCTTCATTTAGAGTCGTTTGCGAAACTAATCGAGTGTCGCAAATTCGTCTACCATCAAGTAATGGCTGCAATTATTTGGTGCGAACGTTCGCAGCCCCTGAAGCAACACAAGAGGAAATATTATTAGACATAAATTAGGTAGATTGGTAGCTAGAAAAATTTAGTTTATATTTTCGTTTGAAGACTCGAGTCCAGAAATATTTCAGACAAGGCGTATCAATATGAGCATAAGTAGCTCGTTACAATTACAGTTACGAGCATGTAAATCGATACTTTAACGTCATTGATTACAGGCTCGTCGGTCAATTTGGAATTTTATCCTTCATTTGCGATAATTCAACGCTATTTATTCATTTAGAGAAACGATCAACAAACACAGAGGAGATAATCGAGTTATCTTGTAATACGCAACGTTAGCATGAGGATTACAATAATCGTCGGTTCAATTTCTATTATACGAAATATATATTTTCTTGTCTAATCTTCTCATGAGCGTCAGCGATAATAAGGCTGTGCTTTTGTTGTCAGCCAATTATCCATAGGCGTAGATAACGAAAATATATTTAAGAAATAGCGAAACTTGATAACGCCATAAAAATTTAATGCGATTGAAAAACAAATATAACTTATCGCGTGTTTAAATTGGTACACTTAACATTAATTAGATTACAGAGGAGTTTTTAATCCTCTTTTCACTCGTGCGAGTGTACAAGATATAAATTTGATTCGTGATTAATTGAACGAGATTAGATAACCTTTGTCGTTACTTCGACTTGGATAGAAAAGAACTTTCGTGACCCCTCGAGTTTATAAAATAAAATTCTTCGCAGGAGACGTAAGATTTACTCAACGAGACTATTTACAAGGAGGCACGTTATTTCGCCTCGAAGCTCGCGGAACTTCGTAATCGAAAGTAGAAAAGTTTTGTACCGCCGTATAATAATTTTCCACCTCTTCTGCTGGAGAAAAAGGGGTGGAAAATTTTTCAACGATCCGCGTAAATGGTTTAGCGATTTCCGGGGTAACGAAAACTAGATCACCGAGTGAAATATCTCCTAACAAACTTTCATAATTGACATATTTCAAGGAGAATTGTAAAGTAATAAAGTGAGGTATTCCATATAAAATAAAATTGTTCGAATGTTCAAATTTCTCTTCTTCGAGTACGTTGTTTCGATAACAAAACTAACGTTGTCGGCCGTGAAAATTGGGAAATAAAGTAACTCAGAAAAAGCAGACTATTAATCATGATAATTATTATTTTAAAATGGACTGAACGACGCAATTTTTGCCTATCATCGAAAATAACGACGTCACTAAACAAATAATAATTGTAAAGGAAATATGAAATAAAGACGACTGGATAAGGTTTAGGATTCCATGTTATTTCGTTAATAATTCGTTAGGTTCGTTTAATCTAAGAGTTAAAAAGGTAGCTCCAAGGTAAACACGTAACATCCACGCACTCGCGGGCATAATGTCAATCGAGGGCCGCGTCGCACCGCCTTCGTTCGCGCTCATTTAGCTCCCGAGTCATTATAAACATCACCGTGGCGTGTTTCGATTAATTGGCCTTGTCTCTTAACGGTGCCACCGTTCGAGTTATTATCCGAGTTGACTGCCAGTCGACAGGATAATCGGTATGTTTTTACAACGTCATCGGATTTACGGCTTACCGAAGAAAGAAGAAACCCCGTCTGGCTTTTCAAAGACTTCCGTCCCGTTACCCCCGTTTCCTCTCTTTACGCTTAATGGGATATTTTCAGTTAAGGGGACTACGCGTGGATGCAATATGCACTTTGCACTTGTCCGTCTTCGTTTGAAAATGCGTCCACCATGACAACGCACCTTTTCGAGCGAAACACTGAAACTGAGCAATTTTTCACCTGAACATCATCGCTGAAATCTGCGTTCTACGTCCTTAAATCTCGAAAACTTGAAATAACCTGTGCAAGGCAGATTCTCTGTGAAAAAACGAACCGAAAGTGTGCAATAAAGTTTCTTTGTACGAGCCTCCGTTTTCGAGAGAATCGATGCCAAAAGTGTTTGGTGTACGCGCACTTAACTAGAGTGCTCCGCGCGTATTCAACGTCGATTCTCTCGAAAACGAAGCCTCGCATGGAAAAAATTCGTTCTACATTTTCGATTCGTTTTTTTCGAGAGGAATCAACGTAGCGTGCCAGATTTCTGTAATATTCTGGAGGGCGTCCTAAATACCTTGCTTTCGGTCCTTTTGTTCCGCGAAACCAGACGCGAGCAATCAGTGCAGACGATTTAAACAATATTCGTCGCAGCGTTCGTAATATCGTTTTTATGAACGAGGAAGACAGTAAATTAAATTTCTATACTACGTGAATGCTTCATTTGAAAAATGTACGTATTTCGTGTGCACGATGAAGGCTGGTTGTCGACCAACTGGAAACGTGACGGACATTCGAGTTACATATTTCAATTTTCCCTGAACATATAACTGATACGACGAGCGTGTGCTCGTTTCGCGAAACAGCCAGCGATATCGTGAAAGACAATAGAAGACGTACGAACATTGTCACGAACCTGAACTCGTGTTACGCGAGTCCTCGAAACGGAATAATAGCGAAAAGGGCGACATGAGCGTGGAATTGTAATTATTTTAATGGTAGCGCGCGACGAAACAAAGCGTATAAAATTATAGTAATTGAAAAAGATAATTCCCTTGTAGTACGCGTGACTTCAGCCAGGAAAAACAAACAACCGAGACCTTGCACGTGCTTCGTGTACCGTGTACGGAGAGATTTTTAATAGAGATGAGACTACGTGTCGCAGTTCTCTGTATTATACAATTCGGATAAACGTTACTCGAATGCTATGGAAAGAGTACGTCCACTAATTAAATATCTGGGATAGTATGAATTGGGCTGTAAATCAAGTTCTGCTAGTGTAGCATCAAGCAATGAGATTTTTGTGAAAATAAAAGTCTTATCGTTGACGGGGATATCTCTTGCAATCTTTTACGATCGATTAGGGCTCGATCTCAAAGCAAACAACTCATATCACTAAACATGCTTTAAATCGATACGTCCCTACGGTGAAATTATCACAGTGATGATAAACATATCTCTTTTGTCCATGATAATAACTTTTTCTCAAACAACATAGGAATCGAGCGAAAATTTCTGACTTGGCAACACGTCGAATCGCTGCGAAAGAAATTACAATAATAAATCAATGGTCGATGAGATGATACACAATTTAAAGCTATTAAAACATCATCCAAATGATATACCGCCTCGACGATAAATGGGTGATTCTGTTCTAACTGCTACTTTTTTGATTGAAAATGTTTCAATTTTATAATTAAATTTTTTTTATGCATATTGCATGCATATTATTACTCTATTTTATTGTAAAAATGAAAGTCCGGAAGGATTTTGCTACAACTTTAAAATATCGAGAATAAGAATCAAATTTCAAATTTTTCTTGCCACGGTACCGACATAAAATAAATTTAGTAGATATTCTTTGGAAAAATGATTAAATTTATTTACAAATTGTATTATAACATTTTAAAACTCTTTTATTATAATTATTTAACACTTCAATAATAAATAGTAACTCATTTTTAACAAATAATAATACATTATAATTTATATAAAATATTAATCAACTGAGATCTAACACATACTATTTTACGAAAAACAAATTAACTTAAATATAGTTTTTGGTTTTCATCACAGCATTTTTTGAATTCTTGAGCTTCTACGTAGTGGTACAGTCTGAGTTTTTGTTGAATAATCACTAGCAACATCTTTTTGAAGACTTTTTAGAGTTTGAGTCAACTTCGGCGATTTTTTAACTTTTTGCGATGAATCCTTTGATTTTTTTATTTTTTGCATCAATCTCTTGTTTATATTTCCAACTTTATCGTTTGAAGAGTAGTGAATTCATCCCATAAAAAAGTGTTTACATGAATTTTCATTAGAACAATCAAAGCAACTTAATGAATTGAATAAAATACAATTATGCTGTAATTTATTCCACGAGTATTGATGTACTTTCATAGTATCTACGAAAGGCACGAAATTATTTGGTAATATTGCATCAATATTCGATATTATAATTTTCTTGTACGAAGTATTGGAATCATCTGCCATGAAAAAATTATAATTAATAATAAAAATAATTTTATTACTAATTAAATATATTTATACTATTTTTTTACACGGTACTGACATTTTAAATTCAATTAGCAACTGTAATTATTTGGTTATGAATTTGATAATATCCAATTACGGTATTATTTAAGTTAGTAATAAGTACAAAAGTTCATTACTCATGATAAAAAATTAACTAATCAATAATTAACTAAATTTACCAGTACCACGGTACCGACAAGTCAGTTTATGACATACCTTTTTGAAAAGTGACTTTTAAAATGACACAAACTTGTTGCACAATTTCAACAGTGGTATGTTTTTAAATATTACATTTTTAATGTACTTTCAATAAGGTTAACTAGTTGTTTTATTAATCTCGAGGTAGATGGCGCATGAGTCGTACAAATTCAAATTAAAAAAATCCGCTTTAAATCTAAGGACAAACGTTATTAAGCCAGAATTCAATGTTTAATTAATATATTGAAAAAAAATTTGTCACTTTTTTTAAGTTTGATTATTTACATTAAGTTTTATGGATTAATTTGTTTGAATCGTTTATTGCGACAAAGAAAATAATGAATTTATAGATAAATTCTAGAAATGGACATAACACGGTACTGACATTTAAGTGATATATTGTAAGTTTTCTCTGGACTGCAAGTTATATTACACAGAAAAAAAAGTGATGAAATACGTTCAGGAGGATCGTATTAATACAAAAATTTTGTGATTACAATGTTAATGTATAACCAGTGGGAGTAAATAGTACAAGAGATTAACAATCACTGTTGGAATGGAATCACCCAAAAAATACGACTTTGTATAATAATACTTTTCTCGACTATTGGTCCAGATGGACGTTAGATTTATCGTTGTTTGCGCAACGGCGATAACAAACAACGAACCGTGGTATATCGTTTACTTGTTCGTCGAAAGTCTTTATTATTCTCCCACGCGTTTAATAACTGCAGCCCACGCTCTTCAAATACCGCGGTCTATTTCATTGCCCCCGAAACCTTGAACGATACGTACATGTAAGGTCCATTAATTGTACAAATCATCGTGCAGCTTCCTTGTTCCTACGCACTGCACGTGCAAAGCGTGTATCGCCGGCAATTTTTGTGCAAAACGAGTTAAAGACGATATTGCAAATAAATTTTATATTCTATCTGTAATGAGATCAATTGCTTCAAGTTCAGGAAATACTGTGAATTAGTCAAGGTTCCAACTTATCAATTATCGTGTCTTATCATAGTAGGTACTTCCTCGAAACAGTCGAAATGTGCAAACATTAGTCATCGTTGTACGTTTTCAATTCTAGTAATTATAAGTGTAGAAGCCATCTTCTCTGCTACGAAAAGGACACTATAAATACGACTCTACACCTTAGCATGCTAGTAACACGTTAAAACACTATAAAGTAATCAAAATCTTCATGTACGAAATTTCTTACACCACTCAAGAAATTGTTAGTTTTACAGGTCTGTGTAAAGAATAAAGTAAAGAGATTCTTTTGTTTGAAAAGGAGGTCATGAAAATTAAGATTACGATATTATGTGGAAATTACGAGAGGTTAAAGAATAAAGATAATATTATTACTGTAGATATATCATACACCACTCAGTGGATAATTTCAAACTAGTTTGATGTGCTTCAATTTTCACTGGAGAGGATCCCTCGTAAATTATCGTTAAATGATGACACGGAATTAAAGTCGAAACCAGTATTGCCGATGTACAAATTAGCGGAGCAATCCTGCGAGTAATGTACGAGCCGTTCATCATGAAAATGGTGCAAATCCATCCATCTTTTTCATGTTGAACGGTCAGTGGACCATTATCCCTAAACGTTTTCAACTACAAGCCCTCTTCAGAAACAACCCTATGCGAAGGTAATAACTTTAATACTATGAAAATAATCCCTTACGGTTAGAATGCTTAAGTAAATTCATCTAAACATCGATAGTTTCATTTTGAAATCGTTAAAATTAACAACTCGAACGTTTTCGAAGTAAAAAATTCGCTGAGTAGGTGACGAATGGTCTCTCTTAATTTTAATCCGATTCTAATCTGGAACTAACCCAGATTTCACGTGCGTCCAAATTAAATTAACGGCTGGCGGGTTAGGGCTGCGCGTTCATTAATCAGATAATGAAAAACGTTGATGCAGCAGCTTACGTTGAAAACGGTTGCGGACACGATTTTAAATTTTTCATTACACGAGCTTCGAAGAACGTAATAATCATTCTGAATTGGCGATTACCTAACAAGATTCCGTTTTCAACGTTTCGAAGAGGGATACATACATATAACGTTCACTATTCGAGAAAAATTACATTTGCGAAGATTGAATCGGAACGCTAACAATGGGAGAATTACAATTCCGATTCAGCTAAATGAAAAATGAAATGTGGCCACTCTGGAATAATTGGTCGCGTTAGCAGTTCGACGAATGACGTTGCCAAGTATGACAAAATTTCCAATTCATCGGAGTTCTATTCAAAATCCTGAATGCGCTATAATTATCGACAGATTTATATTATGTATCGGTACGGTTCAATAATTCATAAATCTCATTCGCGTGATTTTGTTATCGTTACAAATTCTCTTTTCATCGATTTTCGTTTTCGTTATTTGTAGTAGAGGCACTATTATTGATAGATGGAATCGAAATGCAATCAAATTTCATTGAAAACATCAATGATCATTTGAAAATTGAAATTCACAAATATAAATTAACAAGGTTGCCTGCCAAACGAATATTCTTGAAAATTTCTGCTAAGATTAAATATTATTTAGACTATCAGAGTCTAAGTAATGAAACATTTATCGTAGTATTTAGTTTTGTAATTACATCAAAATTCAAGAACTTCATTTAGATTCATCTCCTGTGACGTCTAATTTTCAGAATTAATCTTTCTAGTTCTTGAATGAAAATCACTTTCACCCATATATGGGTGACGTGGCGATCGACGTGTTAATGACGTATTATTAGGAGTAGAAATAAATTCTGTTTATATTCAATCGTTTGGTATTTATTTAAGTAGAAATATTTACTCCGGTTTTTTTTACCTTAAAGTACCAACCTTCTAAGTTCTCCTGGTTACCTAACAATAAGCCCCAGCCTACAGAATTAATTTCTACAGCTAACAATTAACATGTGTTCACAATTATACAGGTAACGGTAGAACAACAATGACGTAAAACTCTCCTATAAGACTCCAATCGGATGAGCGGTAATCGCTCCGGATTTAAACATCGATTCGTCGCAGCCTTTAAACCTTTAAAGGTACGCAGATGTGTCACACTGTCGAACCAGAGCCGGCTAGTCGGCTACGACGCACGCTTACACACGTTTTCTCAAGTAAATTCTTCGAAAGTAATCGTCCCAGTGAACTCGCGTTGTTACGAGTTTCACAACAATCTCCCATTCACCTGTGTTCCCCAAAGATACGCGCATGGGTCCCACCGTACCGAGCAACGAACACATAAAAAAACAGCTAGAGAACTCAGTCGATGTTAGTTTAAAACGTACCCAAACGTACACTTTTCTAATGTTCATCGGTGTTCCATGTATGTATACACTCTCTCCGAATTTTGGGAGCAATCACTCGTGAGATGCAAAGCAAAACAAAGCCTAGCATACGTGGGTACGCTGCACCCCTACCTTATCTCGTAACCAGATTTTTCTTAAGTTTAGACTCTAGGCCGAGAAGACCGAGAATTGGGGAAACCCGTGAACTCGAGTTTTCCTAAATACCGATCTTTGTTGTATTCGATAACAGCCGGGAAAGTAATAGGTTACGCCTTTGTTCTGTGCTGGTGCATACGCGAGCCTGGCTCCGGCCTGGACAGGACAACAAACGACGAAACGACGTATCGAGGATCTGACAGGTCGCGAATCCGGACGGAAAACGCGGTAAAAAATCAATGGAGCCGCGCGAAGACGTTAAACGCACCGCACGAGGCGAAATAAATGGGAGCCGGGATCGTAGAAGAGCTTACCTAACCTTGCAGCAGGACCGCTTCCTCACTAGCCAGATCAGCGTAACCCTCGCCACGAGTAAAGTTCCATGTACCGTCCGCTGATTGATTCGTCCCGCTACTCGCGGAATCAACCCTTCGACTGGAGCTTCGAGGGGGACATCGAGAGACCGTGGAAAGAAAAGAAAAAGAAAAAACTCCTCACGGATAACGGTATATCCCAGCCATGTCGAAAACACGAAAGAGGCACGATTTGCCGCGCCCGCGCGCGCGCGGTCCAACTCGTTCTTTTTTTTCTCAGTGGCACCAGAGTGACTCGTCCCCGTAACGCATAGCTCGTCGCGTACGCATCTGTCCGTCGGACGAGAGTCCACAGAATGGAAAGCGTCTCGTAACGCTTTTGCCTCTCCCGCGCCTCTACATAACGCTCTTTCTCGCAGAGATAACAGACGCTCCACCACCGACCGAGAACAAACACTCGCGACTCTCGCTCGCCGACTGAACGTGTTGCTCTTGACTAAGCAGCCATCTGACGGCGCTGACGGCAACCAACTGCGCCGTCGGTGGAGCTGTTACAGAAAGACCTCATGAATGAGAGCCAGGGTGGGGAATGCATGCGTACACGTCGAATGTGTAGTAAAAATTTCTGATTTATGATCACGAGATCCAGTAGTGGGGTAACGGAGTACTCTAATCGGTTATTGTCGTTACCGATGCCGCAACGAGGTGTGAATTTTAATGGATTCGAGTGATGCATTTCAACCTTTTCTGCCTCAAGTTTCTGTAGGGTATCTGTTAACAGAAAAGAGAACAACGTGGAAAATTAATTTTGTAAGATTCTTCCATACTATTTCTAGGCACGATACTTTTGTGAATGGAGATGTTCATTATGAAAGCAGTGTAAATTCATTTATGTAAAACATACTTAAGGGGGCATTTCACTGTGAACACACAAAAAAAAGCATATTTTGAATAATTTTTTTCTCAAGAACTATTGCATAAAATTGAATGAATGTTTTTCCCCTTAAAGGTATGATTAAGGAAAGTAAATAAAAATTTTTTTTGGTAAAAAATATTTTGTCATTTATTTACAAAATAATATGCATGTGTGCAAAAAAATAAAGTTATCTGCTGGCGCAGGTGATTTTGGATCTCCTGGTAATCTGAAACAGAAAATCGAAAAAGTTTATTAAACTATGTCGTCACACCTATCGTCGGAACCTCCGCTTATTTATTTCATCGAAAATAAACAAAATGGCAGCGTTTCTTGTGAAAGAGAGCAAAAAAAAAACACTTTTTTTGTACCGTAAATCAGGTGAAATTGTAAGTAAAAATCAAAATATCAACTACTCGGAGGTTCCGACGATAGGTGTGACGACATAGTTTAATAAACTTCTTTGATTTTCCGTTTCAGATTACCAGGAGAAAAAACATTCATTCAATTTTATGCAATAGTTCCTGAGAAAAAAATTATTGAAAATATGCTTTTTTTTGTGCGTTCACAGTGAAATGCCCCCTTAAACTACTCTGATAATAAACGTCTCTTATTAAAAAGAGATGAGATGTACGTAAAAATTCATGTCTCCATAAATTCGTGTCTCAATAATAAATGATTTCGCAAGAGGTGTACAAGGATCGAGAAACATCCAAAATATAATAAATTCTAACTGAAAACTGAACATATTTTCAGCGCCAGCTGATCAAAATAGATCCATACTTGAAATAGAGTTACCAGGGTTGCAAAGTTCGCTGTTCATGAAGCGTTATTTTTATAACAAATATATCACATTGATTATTGTGAATACGATCAGAGACGTCACACGTATCATCGAAAAGGTGAGATTCACCTACCAGTATAGCCCATAAAATACTCAAGAAACCAAAATGATGCTATAACAGCAAAGAAATACGCAGTTGCAGCGAAGAATATAAATAACGTCGTTATATTTTTCGCGCTCAAAGATTGTAGAATATAACAATCGATTCGTTGAGTTTCTACGACACTCCGCGGCAGTTTAGTTTCGTCGGATCTTACGATGTGGCAATCGACCAATAGAGAGATGGTCTGTAACCTGTAATATTATGCATAACAAGTGCTGTCATAGAAGGATCATCGCGACATAATACACTTTTTGTCACTGACTTCTTAATGAGATCGGATATGTTTCAATTAATGTACGCATTTAAAGGAATGCGGTTAAGACATTTGTACCGACAGTAATTGACGTGTCAGTGCAATTGCAAATGGCGGGCACCAATGGTGACATTTCCTCGTTAGGGAAGAAAATCGAAAAATTAGCAATATCTGCGGACGAATCGACGAAAAATGAAAACGATACCGAAAACGAGGAAAGACCCGAACCACGTCTATGGGGGTTTGAAACCCGTGAACTATATAAGATGGCAGTAAATTTCTACAAAGGTGAGTCAGTCGTATTGACAGTTTGCTAGAATAATCTACTCTGTTCAGTTCTTTGTATTGCGTCAAAAAAATGACATGTCTATGTAAATTCGCGTTATCCTATCGTTCTGCTATATTTTCGTAACATGTTGGAAACCTGAAGTATAGAGAAATATGAGAATTTCATTCGTAATCGCCGTGTTGATTTTGATGTTGTTCACCTTGTACGAGCTGGACAGTGAATAGATAAAATATTAATTTTTTTTTTCGTCGCAATGTTACGTGAAAATATGTAATTATAGAAAAGGAAGGGAAAGCAGTTCATCTGTCTTACGAAGATAAAGTAAAATTGGTGGCTTTTACGCAACAAGTGACACACGGGAAATGTACAGCAGAGAATGCACCGCCGTTAGGTGTGTTGGATGTGATTGGAAGAGACAGACGTTTAGCATGGCAAAATTTGGGAGATATATCCAAGGAGCAGGCGATGGAAGGATTTATAGTTTTATTGGATAAATTGTGTCCTTTGTTTAGGACAGTTGTAGAAGCACAAAAAAGAGATATAGAAGAAAAATTACGACTGAAGAAGGAAGAAGAAGCGAGAAAGTTGGAGGAGGAAAGGAGATTAAAAGAGTTAGAGGAACAAAAAAAGAAAGATGAAGAAGCTCGATTAAAAGAAGAATTACAGAGGAGACAAATTCAGGATGCCTTAAATCAACAAACTTATTATCAATTTAAGATGTATGCAGAACAACAATATCCTGGAAATCCAGAACAGCAAGGTGTTTTAATACGGCAGTTACAAGAGCAGCATTATCATCAGTATATGCAACAGTTGCGTCAGAACCAATTAGTCACAGAAGAGCAAACCCCAGTAGCGAATAATGCCACAACTGATAATGAACAAAAGGAAGAACACAAAGAGACAGATGAAACGGCACTGTTAAACGAAGAAGACTCGGATGAACAAGAGGATTGGCCACCTATAGCTCCTGCAGAAATGTGGACAAGGAAAGGTGTGGAAGAATTTAAGGAAAGTATTAGGAGAGAAGCTGGTGATGCAGTTATTAAAGTTGGACACGGAGAGACAGTGACTGTTAGAGTGCCAACACATGAGGATGGCTCTTGTTTGTTTTGGGAGTTTGCAACAGATGGTTATGATATAGGTTTCGGAGTATACTTTGAGTGGTCAAAGCCAGAAACAAGTCAAGTATCGGTACATATTAGCGAATCCGAGGATGAAGATGAAGAGGACGAAGATTATATTTCAAAAGAAGATTTGGAAAGTGGAGTAATAAATGGCACCATGCAGTCAGATTATAAACCACCGTCGCCACCTATAAGCGTGGTAGTACCTGTAAGTAGATACTTACACTTGTATTTCAGTAATATAGAACAAAGTTTGGCATTGCTATTATTTTCACAATCTTGTATTGTTCTTAAAAGGTATATAGGAGGGATTCCCAAGAAGAAATTTATGCTGGAAGTCATAGATACCCAGGACAGGTAAGCAAATTCATTCCTTAAAAAAATAAAACTTGAAAAGCTAATACATCGTGATCGTATGTTTTCTTATTGCAGGGAGTGTATCTTCTTAAGTTCGACAATTCATATTCACTTTGGCGAAGCAAAACGCTTTATTATCGAGTCTATTACACCCAAAATGGCTATGTGGAAAATTAGCTTTACTAAAAATCACGGCGATTCATTGAACGTACAATCGTTGAAAACTAGCCGAATGCGATGGTCTGTCGATATTGCTAGTCCAACTAAACGAAGAGTCCTATATCTTATTTCTGTAAACACCAAGCGAAGTGTTCGCTAAGGAAAAATATACTTATTATAGTTACGTTAAGACACTTTATTGTTTAATATGGCAAGAAACTGGGCACAATTAAAGAAAAGGTTCCTATCGTTCCCTTTCCCATGAATGTTTATAAGTGAGCAAACAAAATGTATAAATGTCAGTAACGATATTACACATGCATTAAAGAATTTCTTTGTGTCCGATATAATAGTGTTGTACTCACTTGTATATCGTGTCTATATTCCATTGGTAAATCTATACGCAATATTGTTTTCTGTGGTCATTTTAGACTTTTTGTTATTTCGCTCATGACACAGTGACTGTATCTTATACTTTTATTAATATTGTCCCACATTTTTGAAAAATACATTGAACTAAAAATATTGAAATGTTTCATTTGCTAACCATAATTGTACATGGAAAAAGAATAACATAAGTTCAAAGAACTTTAAGGAGACACTTTCCTTTTTCGTGTCAACATTTATTGTACTATAACCATAACGTTTTCATTTTTTTTTTGTCTTTACAGGAATGATTTGTATATCGTCGTTAATAATAATAATAATGTTACATACGCAGCAATATACACTTACAGGCATTTTTATGCGAACGAATATATGCGTATACGTATCGCATACAAACGCGTGTCCAATTATCGCATAGTAATAGACAATTCGCCCTATAATAACAATTTTACTTAGAAGAGCACTTTTCTGAGACGGCATGGGTTTTTTTGTTCTTAATATTGCACGGCAACGAGGATTCCGTTGTACGTCGAGGCTTTAGATACATTGCGTGAATAATTTGCAAGAACACTAAGCGATAACAGCAAAATTCCTGCTGGCGTGCAATTTTTTTTGCAATAGCCAAATGTTTACAATCATTTTTATCTGTAATTAATCGATCGAAAATTTGTAACAAAGTGGAATTCAAATCGACATCGAAATTACATCAATTTAGCACTATACCCGTTTTCGTTTATAAACGTTCTTCAAACTTTCAAGTTTAGATCGTCGATCTTTTATTCACGTATTTGACACTGAAATTTTCGATAAATTCTTAAAATCTAAATTCAAATTCTATGGGGACTACTTACGGATCGATGATTTTTCGAATGATACTGGCTCGAGTGGTTCCTCAGAAGAGACACTTTCGAAATAAACATACGATACACGGCTAGTCAATGCTTATTCAGTTTAATCGAAACTCTAATATTTCAAATACCCTTGATACGATTTAATCTCTACAATCAATTAATTTAATTCTAGATTCGATTATATCGTTTCATAGTTCGAAATGAATTCAAAGGAGATGTTCAAATTAAATTCGAATGTTTGATGTTAGTCGTTGTTTTGCTTACGTTAGTACAACTGCCATTACGGAAAGTGTCCCTTTGCGATCGGCGTCCGTTAGATTTATCTATCAAAAGTTCTATTATTACGCAGATAAAAAAAGTTGCCATACGTTATTCGTTTTACACGTAAAACTTAAGTAATCGCGCGTGTTATCCTGAGATGCTTAACACTTAAACGGTTATCGTGAGTATCGTGTTTATGGTATCACATGCTTTCGTCGCTCGTCGCTCAGCAAATTCGCAAACGTCTACGTCTATGCGGCGGCTCAGCTACGTTGTCTATGTGTACTGTCGTATTTGAATTTGGCGCGGAAAATCACCTGCGATTCTCGTTACGACGCCGCTTGTTAGAAAAGTGTAGCTTCGAAATGCGAATGTGCGTACGTTCTGAGTTTGCGGGTGGAAAACTGGTTCCCGATTTCTGTTTAAAAGAGGAATATCGTGGATTTGGTGGAGAATACTGCTGCTCGACGAGAAATTTGATGACTGCGCAGAGAATTTCATCGCTTTCTTCGTGATTGGCACACAAGGGTGAGCACAGTTTGAATACTTGACGTGCACGTTCGTTGCATACTTTTTTTTTTACCTTGATTTAGAAAAGATGCTGGACAAGTTTCAGACTTTCCGAGTGTTACTTTCGATTTTATGCGTACGTGAATTAATTGGAACATTATTTATGATTTTCTTTGGTAATAAAAGAGATCGAAATCGAACGAGTTGAATTGTTGCTCTTGTCGAGAGCGAGAGATGGGGAAAATGACTCTTTTAACACGTACACACATATGCACATTTTTACTTACTATACATAAGGATTATCGTGGTACAATTAAGATTCGTAATTTTTTACCCTTGTAACGGGTCGTAATAAATGGATATATTTTACTTTGAAAAAGGCTGAATTACGATGGTTAGTGGAGGGAGAGCTATCTGCATAAATCTATACGTTTATCGATAGTCATTCGTATTTGCGATTCTCAGTAAATACCAAAGTCCTACACTTAGGGAACCTATTCAACTTGGAATTTAGTTCTTTTGGTCGTAGAATTACGTAGAATTAATTTGTAATTCAAATCTTTTCAGGAAGCTCATCAAAATTTGCTAATAACCTTGTCCAGTTTTATTAAAAAATAGCAACACGCAGAGACGAAAAGGCGGTTACTTCTTTCTTTTAAACAATGCATTTCATTTCATTTTTCATTGTGCCAAGTGCTACATTAGAAATCCATTTTTTAACTTATCCTCCCTTAACCCTTCAACATTTTTCGAACTAAACATTCGAAACATATCCACTTATAGATTAAACCTGATCACCCTGTAGATATCCATAAATTTTTAGACGTGTAAACCAGGAATTGGCACTGTAGAATCATAGTGTCGGGATCTTCGTCACTGGTGCTACCGTCAGGTGGGTAGCAGGGCTGTACCACGAGTAGAAAGGGCCCCGAGACCATAATTCCTTTACAGTGTCGATTCCTGATGTAGAATACAGGGTGTCCCAAAAATGTTGTAACACCTTGAAACAACTTTTTCCTTAGCGAAAATATTGTCCGAGGTTTCGTTAAGGAGATATTAAGAGAAAACCCCGACCAATCAGAGCGCGCATATGCCGGTGGGCGGCCCGCGATATCGTAGACTATGCGCTCTGATTGGTCGAGGTTTTCTCTTAATATCTCCTTAACGAAGCCTCGGACAATATTTTCGCTAAGGAAAAAGTTGTTTCAAATCACCTCCCGAACCACCCCTTTCAAGGTGTTATAACATTTTTGGAACACCTTGTGTAGACCAAGACCTCCTCGCGAGAGTTAAATCTCAACCATACCACGACCGCAAACATCATCAGCGTAATATTCTCTATCAATGATTATCACGATCAACAATTGGCATCGATACACATATTCCGAGTATATGAAAAATATTTCCCTAAAAGCATAACGGTGCGTTTGTTGTCTCCGTAGTAATATATAATAAATATATATATGTAATAGTAGTATACGTATATTTATGTATATATCGTCTAATAATACAAAGTTCTCGAAATCACGAGAGACCGGTAAAAACGATCGGAATACGATTTTTACGCGTACGAATCTGTCGTCTCGGTTAGATCTTCGCGCTAGCAAACAGTGTAGACAAAAATATATGTTGTATATTTTCGTATCTGTGCACGGACAAGCGAAGACTTTCAATCGTATTCGGCGCGGATTCCCATTTAATTCAATATTTTTCGCTTACTGTGTAAAATCTATGTTTCCTGCTTGCGCTTGAGCGAGCGTTTTATTTTTATTTTTGTAAATCCCTTCGTACAAATTGACGCTGCGATCATTCGATGCTTTTGTTACTTTTTAACGATATTAACCCTCGACTAGCAGGGTCAAGGTGGACAAATTTCGTTTAAATTACATCTTCGAATTATAATTGTTCATTGAACGAAGCGCGAAGAAATTTCAAATTGTCAATAGTTTCTTGAAAATTTTGCAATTCGTCGTTCTTCCTACTTCTTTTCTTGCGATTATATTGACCTGAAGCCTGAAGGACATCGTCGAGGGTTAACACGCTTCACTATGGAGAATCGTTGAGTAATTTGGTCGAATTTCATGAAAATTACTCGGTGAATTCGTGAAAGCCGCGAGAAATTAATTCGCCATGGAAAAATCTCGGTTAATTAACCAATTGTTCCGAGACGTTATTGAAATTCCCCCCATTCGATTCTACCAATAGAACTATATACGCCCAAATTCGCTTGGTAACTCATTCAAATTGACTTCGGATCAACTATTGACGAATTACGGAACAATAGAAGGTAATTAGTGTTTACCCGAAGAACATGTAGCGCTGCAAGCATAAAATTGTTTGAAAGCCCACGATCGCGGCTGTGTGTGTGTGTGTGTGTGCAAGGTATTGCATGAGATCGTTAATTATCCGATGAAAAGGGTTTCGAGGCACGACACGACAAAGAAAACGTTGCGTTATACGATTCGACGATATTTAAAGTTAGTTAGAAGGTAAACGAAGAATATCAAATATCTATCGTTGAATATGAACTCTATATTTACATTTCGAATTCAAAACTCCCATGAATTCGAGAAATGAAGAAGACCTTGCTCGAGAGAAAACTTTTTGTATGAATTTGCGCTACTTAAACAACAGAGAGAAAGGGGAGCAATTAAATCTTAAGTTATCCACTTGACACGTTGACTGTCACGCTAAATGCCAATCTAAAAACTGTCCCATATTTCGTTGCTGCGACCTTTCGACTCTCCGGGAGAAGTCACTTGTATCAGAGACATGCACAACATTGGTTCAAACAGTTTACCTTTTGTAATTTACGAGTCGAATAGCCAGGAACAAAATGCATGACTCTGGTATGGGTAGTTTGTTCTTTAAAGTCCCCAGGTATAGTCGCTGTTAGGGATCTTGAGAAGTCACAAACCGAAACAGCAGCTATTACTTTATTGGCACAAGTAACTGATCCCTAGGACGACAAGGATGTCACGGCTCTAAAGATACATGCCCACGTTGCACCTCGGGACCCCAACACTAAATATGATTCGTTACGAGTACCTGGGGTTTTTCCAAACTGGAAACAAAAACTCTTGACGATGACTGGTTGAAACGAAAAAGTTTTATGATAATCGATTCATCCACTACAGAATTATGTGCAAAGATACATAAGAAGAATAAAGTTATTGAACTATGAACCTCCTAATTCTGATATCGTACGGTCCCGAACGAAAAGTTTAGCTTTATCCTTGTCTAAAAAGGTGTCAGATTACTAATTGCGGTCGACTTAAGATGTAAAGATCGATTTCCGACCGACTTTACGACACGAGATCCCTTCCAGCGACAGTACTTTCAAAAGCAGCCGATACCTAGTATTTTAAACCTACTCTATCTTCACCGTGAATACTAGAACGGTGAAAACCCCGTGGAAATGATTTCAACCTGCAAATCCTAGGTCACCACGTGCTTTCTCTCCTTAGTGTCACCTCGAAACCCTTCAGCCATCAGGGAGTGAAGCTTAGATGCTATACGATGTGCGCGTAATTGACGCCGAATCAATTGCTCGCGTGAAATTTCATCCGCAATCGAACGAAACCGAGTCTGAGGTACAATGGACTCTTTAGAGAGTCAACATCCCTAAACGGGGCACACGATAATTTCCATTGGCAACATCGATAGCGTCTCAGACGCTCGTACTCTCTCCGTCCGGTAACGGATGATTCTAAACGACAATTTACCGTTGGGATGAGCGATTGTGCAGCTGGCAGATGGATCAATTAGTCAAGTTTGTTTGGCGAAGCGCTCTTCTTAATTGCAGACTCTGGCGATGTGCCAGGACAGGGGAAGGAAACTTCAACTGGACTCAAGGCTACTTATGGCCTTGACTTAGACACTGGGATATGGAGGACTATATGAACCGTTCAATGCACAAATCGATTAACTCAACTTTTTGAAAAATCTGGAATTTAAGTGTCAAAGCATTTGGTATAGCCGTAACTTTTTATATTTCATCGTATTTCTTAGGCTGATCGCACACGAGCGCAACCGATCAGTTTCGAACCATTCTGAAACTAGTTGCATGCGACCATGGATTCAATTCTTCAGTAGGTAAAACAAAGAGCGCAAACGGTTTGCAACACTAATTTCAAATCGGTTGCGCCGTGTGCGATTGGCCTTAACCTTTTGTTTTATGGAGCTAATCGATTTGTGCACCGAACGGCTCATATGTAGGGTCCTAGATCGAGGCCAGGAGAAAAATGGACTTTTTATTGGACTCGTTCGACTCATAAGGCTACCTGTGTGGCCTTGCATTAGACACTGGAGTATGGAGAACGATCGTTATGGAGCTACCGAGCTACTAGTGGACTCACTATGTAAATCTACCCAGCAGGCCTTGCCTCAGGGTTATTCAGAAGTCTATTGAAGGCTTCAACGAGGACACGATGGAGAAGGTATCCTATCGGACGTGTCTTAGGTGCCCTCAGAGCATCTACCATTGTCAGAGACATCAACCAAGAGTAGTACTCTCGTCACCAAACAATCCTAATCAACTACTTCACTTCAAGGATATTGGGAAGTCTACCGAAGATTTCACGAGGACACGATGGAGTAGGTATCCTACTAAAGATATCCTAAGTGTCCTCACAGCATCTACCATTGTCAGAAGCATCAGCCAAGGGTAGTATTCTCGTCACCAAACAATTCTGACCAACTACTTCACCTATCAGCTCCCCAAGTACTCACCGCTACAGCAATCAAAAGACATCAGTGCTTCTATGGCTCATTCCTACCGTCGAAATGTACGCGTTAAGCAAAAGGCGGCACGTTCAGCGAGGCAATAGCCCCGCTCGATGCTAGTGATTCGTATTTACGCCGTATGTACAGATTCTTGAACCGTGAAAATCGTAAGGACGGATATTTACAATTACGTTAGACTGGGTCCGTGAGCGTCCCTTCGTTATAACGAGGTCTCCATGTTCAGGTTTGGCCATTTGCTGTTCTCAGCTCGGTAGTCCTCGACCCTGCCCGTGAAGCTTCGACGTAGACCGGACTCGTTTCGTGCAGGCTTCGTTCGTCTCTCGGTCAGCGAACGAGTCAGCTCTCTGGTGGGCGACTTGGAAGAGCTTTCGGAGACGCGATCGACGATCGGCGGATCGGGGAACTTCCCGTTGCAAGTGGAGCCTTCGTAAGGAGGAAAGGAGTTGCCGTGTTGGTAGACGTGGGAGGACGTCTGGCTCTTGGCGAAGTCGATGCCGTCCACGGCGTCCATGGACGCTGAGAACGCGTAGGGATAGGAATGCTGACGATCGGGTGGACATGAGAAAGAGGATGGGTGAGAAGTGTCCGAGTAACGTTGTCTGCGGGACTCCTGGAAGCGACGTCGTGACACTTTTCGATCGCAGGTCAAGGATCGTCCGAGCTGGGTCAGCACTGTGTGGCTCGGTGATTCTTCTGTGGGGGTGGAATCGACCACTTGTCTGGTACGGATCACGTCCTTGCCTCCGAACGGATCCCCAGGACAGACTTCCTGAATTGGACTGGCGAAGATCAGGGTCCTGTGGACGGGATTCTATTTTTAACGTTAAACCTACCACGATCGTCTTCAAACTTTTCTATACAGTTCTCATATTCGGTATATGAATTATATACAATTGTTTCATGCGTTATTCAATTTAATTTCTAGTCAAATATTTTTGCATTTCATTGAAAAAAGTATCTATAAGGCCAATCGCACACGGCGCAACCGATTTGAAATTAGTGTTGCAAACCGTTTGCGCTCTTTATTTTACCTACTCCACTATCTTTGTTTTACCTAGATCCATGGTCGCATGCAACTAGTTTCAGAGTGGTTTGAAACTGGTTCGGTTGCGCCGTGTGCGATCGGCCTAAGTGATTTGTTTCGTCACGGTGGAAATAGTTACGCATAAACGTCGATAGATTTAGTGTTAACGCAATTTCTTCTGGACCCTTCGTAGTTCTACAAGGGTAGCATACTGTTTCCTTTAAAAACCTTATTATAACTTCCAATCATTGTTTTTTCGATACTTTGGTAAGAAATCAAACAGTACACCTGATCTTAAATCAGTATCTTAACACATTGTTGACCGGCAATTTTACACAGAAGCGACGTCATGACACCTGCTATTATTTCGTAATTGAATGTGATATAAACTACCGAGTGATGCGAACCTAAATACCGAGTAAAGTATATTCTATTATTAAAGAAGAATAAAAAACCGACAGGACTAAACCCGATGAGCAAAGCTATTGTAGTATTCTATATCGCCTTGGGTTTCATAAATTGAAACAGATAATGCAAGTGCCGATGCGAATTTACTCGTTTCCTGGTTAGCAATGTGTTAAATCACTATCTTAAAAGAATCGTTAAATGTTACTCACCTGTTACTCTCGCGTTTAGAGCCTGCAGGATCCTCGTTCTGGTCAGTGGACAAACACTTCAGCAATTGCTTCTTCCTCCTACCAAGCGCGCTGTCTAAGCTCTCTCTGGATCGCGAGAACAAGTTAGATCTTCCCCCACTCGTCGATGGATAAGCAGCCGAGCAACCCTCGTGGTACGACGCCCTGGCCCCGCAGCGATCCTCCATGTCCCCATCCTCTCGATTAGACATGTTCTGAAGCTCCTTCGCGGTGATCAGAGTGTACCTACGTTTGTTCTGCTTGAGAATCGACTTGAGACAGAAGTAGGTCTTTGAATTCGGTAGAGTGCAAGTCTCATCAGACATTGGATTCGCGATCACTCTGCTTCGACTAACGGTTCTCTTGGGTATGGCGCCTCTGCTTACATCGACGGTCTCTCTGGACCTCGAATCATCCAGGGAGCACAGGGAGAACCTGAATTCCTTCACAGGAACGTTCACCGTGTTCTGACAAGGCTCCCTCGCCCTGTCATCGCTATTCAGCTCTTCCTCTTGATCGTTCTCCAAGATATTCCACAAACTCTGTCCGTTCAATCGAAGGAACCTCGTGTCGCCTTCCATCAGCTCCGATCGACATCTGAGATTCGGCTCGGAAACGTCCCTCGGGATGATTCCTCTTCTAACGCTCCTAATCGCTTCCATAGAACTGGTAACGGGCTCCACTCTGTTGGATTCGTTCTCCAACTGCGCCTCAACCAAGAACTTCCCACAACTTCCGCACCTTCCTGTCTCTGTTTGACTGACAGACGTACAGGGTTGGTAGATATCGATAGTTGTTTCTATCAACGGTTGTCTGGTGGCGTCGATCGACTGTTCATCCTGTCTGGAAAACTCCTCTGGTGTCCTCGTTTCGGTCGTGGAGGAGTGACAAGGACATGAACATTCGTGAGACGTGTCATATCGACGATTAGAGTCCTCGCTGATAAAACTGACGTCCTCGTTCGCGGTGTAGCCTTGCTCTGCTCGCTGATAGAGCAACGCCTCGGAGTAACTCGGCACCATTTCCGTTATGGTCTCTTCCTGAGATTCGGGTGGTCGTTGGTCGGGCACTGGATCCATCAGGAGAGCCTCGCTGTAACTGGGCGCCAGCATGTACGATCCAGCTTGGTTGATGGTTTGCTGGCTCATGGACGCGTGGATCGGCTCGCTTCCGCTTGGAGTGTCGTAGTTGATGCCGAACAGCTTCGTGATCTGTCGATACGTTTGTTTGGTTTGTTAAAAGAGAGGTGGTTTTGATGATATTTGGTTGAGTAAGGACGTGGGATACTTGGATCGATCTGGGCTGAATCGATCTGTTTCTTGAATCACATCAATGATTACAGTGGCGGGCAAAATCGTAAAATCGCAAATACGATTACGATTGTAATCGCATCTTTCCGAGTTGTGATTACGAATACGATTACGACCGTATTTTTAAAGGTTTACAGCCATTGAAATTCCTTACCTCAAAACCGACTTCAGATTCGTGTTCCTCACCCCAAAAAACTTAGAAAACCATACATTCGTCGAAATCAAAACTGAAAAATTTTCAATTAAAATTCGTCCCCATTGACCAGAGCCTAGATAGGGTAACTTTTTAACAATTTTTTATTTTGACGAAAGCATGGTTTTCTAAGTTTTTTAATGTAAGGAACACGAATCTGATGTCGGTTTTGAGATAAAAAATTTCTATGGCTGAAAACTTCTAAGAATACGATTACAATCGTATTCGTATTTGCGATTTTACGATTTTGCCCATTACTGAATGATTACAGAATAAATGTCGATCACAAAAGTATAGAATACTTCTTCTTCTCATCCTTCTTACCTGATAGTCAGCATACTGCGTCTTGTATTCGATAATCACCCTCAGGGGCCAGCTGAGCAACAAAGCACTGAGGCACCAGTACACGTATCGATTCGTGAACCATGGGTTCCCAAGGACAGCCACCAGGGTCGTTGGGTTGGGATTGTATCCAAGATCGAGGCCCTCCCTCATCTCCATATAGTCGTCCCTCAGCTCCTTTAAAGGGTAATATTTCCATCGATCGATTTAACGATCAACCGTAGAGATTGCTTTAGGGAAATCTGTCGTACTTGCTCGGCGAAGAAACGTGACCTAGCGTCCTCGAACTCCGTCGCTGATCTCATGTTGGAGAACGCGAACCCTTTGGTGAGATTGATCTTCGTTATGGGCACTTTCGGGTCCAGGATCAGGTCCTTGCTGATATCCTTCACGCCGCAGTAGTCGTAGTAGTAGAAGGACGTCGCGGCGTGGGTGTTTATTCGCTCGTAGTATACCTGGAGAACGGACACCGTCAGGAAGGGAGGTAGATCGAGGAAAGATGGGCCATTGAGGGGGGGAAAGATCGTGGTTGTTAGCGATAGTAGTTGGAAAATAATAGAACAATTTAGTTTAGATGGTAGTGAAAGTTGGAAATAATTTTCACTGGTTTCTGCTTGTTTCTGTTTGAGGTAAGATCAATTATCCTGTCGAATTCCTCCGTTTACTTCCTCGATCGATGACTTGGGTCCTCGCGAGAGTATCTACTTATCGCAATCGATAGCTAGTATTGGTAACGAAGGTTTTCGATCTTCGAGGAGGTCATCAAACAACTCGAGTTATCAAGAACAGTTACTTTGTATATAGTCTTCAACTAAAATTATAGAAGCGGAGGGGTTACCAAACGTTATCAAACGAAATAGAGTATTTTAAATGTGACGAAAAAAATATGATCCTATTATTAATATTAGAAATAGAAATATTCAGGAAAGGGTTTATGTGGTCCCTTCTGAAAGCACAGATTTCAAGTCTTCCATCTGGCGAGAAAAAAGAACTAGCTTTGTTGAAGGGAATGGTCCATCTGTCCTCTAGATCGTTCAGGCTCGCGCGAAGTCGACGATTTACCATCCCGCGATTTCCTTTCGTCCGGATTACGAGATATGCGTTGCACGTTGCGCGCTATGCGTTACCTGCGTCGTAGTGTAATTGTCTCCGTTTCTGTACCGGGTAATTTGTCGTTTTCTGCGCACGTAGTGGTAGGAGACGGCCTTCCACCAAATCGTCGGCTGGGCGGACTTCAGCAACAACAGCTTCGATAACACGCTATCTTGACTCTCCGCGTGTAACAGATCGATTCTAATAGGCGAGTGATAACACTCCACGAGGTAAACCAGATACAGCATTCCCATGAATGCCACCTGAAAGATGAGCGATTTCGCGATTGTCGTTTACTAGTTTCGTCGTTTCGATATTTTGCGCTACAGTAGTAATATTTCTGTTTGGAGATTTAATTTCTGATCATTATGAAAGTGGATCTAGTGAAGTAGGAGATCTTAACACTTTATCTACCGAGCTATTTAGAAACAGACTTTAATTAAAAAAAGAATTTTCTACAGTATCATATGCCAATCTAGGCTGACAATAATTCCTCCATACTGTTACTGGGTACATTGAAAGCCAAGTCTGTTTCCAAACACTAAACATTTTAAGTAGACAACCATCAACACGGTAAATAAATTCGAATAGCTAAATACTGCAATTAAAAAGCCTAAAAATAGGCTTCCGGTAAATAAAGTGTTAAAATCTTTCGTCATGGTATACATTTTTTAGTGTTTATGCCGTGGGATACTTACGGGGATGTAAATGTATCCATCATCGCAGGGAGACACTAGTCTCGTGCCTCTAATCGGGAACCTCATAAAGTTTATTTCGATCTACAAAAGAAATTCTGCTTTTGATCAAATTGCTTACGTTGACTCTTAGAAATGATCGTTTCGATTTCCATCGTTTCGAAAATTTTCATGATTTCCAGGTTGAAATGAAGAATTTAACGTAGTCTGACACGAGCGTACGTTTAATCATCAGTTTCAAATGTTAGTTTAAAATAAGCTTGCAGGTATATACGCGAATTGATCCAATTAGTATCTTGAGATGACTGCGCTGGTTCAGAGTTATGGTCAGTTTACTTAGCATGGCTAAATATCGAAAACTTCGTGAAACTTTAACAAATCCTTCCGCTCGAAGGAACTAACTAATAAAACGTTCCTCCTCATCTTCTATTCTGTCAATGAAAAACTAAGTATCTTGGCAATTTCTCAATGCATCGAAGATAACTCAAACTGAATAAAATCTGAATAAAATACTCGATCCTACTCGACGCGAGTGAATTTTAAATACATAATAGCTAAAAATACCACACACTTGAAACACGCCTGCAACGAATATGCATCGATAGCAAAAGCACCGCTGGATCTATTTTCTCCCACGCAAGGAAATCAAGCAACCGATATGAGCAGCATCACTGCATATTTGAATTTTTTTAAACAACTCGATATGATTCGAACGCGAATTCCGTAATGCAGAGAAAAAACGACGTACCTTGGCAACATTCGCGCATTTACACCACGTCACTGCGGCGAGGCATCCGTATATTAACACCGAAAGTATCAAGCACTTGCAATTCGGTTCCTTTTGCAAAGCTCCGCAAACAGTTTGAGCGACTGGTCGCTGCTGTGGACACAGTGCCGCGTAGAATTAAACACAATTGTTCTCAAAGCAATAGAATAGTGGTCGTAAATATTTTCGTTTTCAAACGTTTTTGCGATGACGTACTTCCTCGTTTTCTCGATTCATCGTTGAACGTTACTGAGCCTCTTCTGGGAACGTTTGAACGTTTGTCTGGGGTCAGAACGCGAGCTTTTCCATTTCACGGATGTTCCTTCGTTTCCTTCATCTTCCGGGCATCGACCTTTGTGCTGCGATCGTAAGAATTTAATTACGATATTTGCTTTGACCACGAGGGAAAGCCGAGGGGGACGTTGACTTTCGAACGCGACGAACCGTAAACTACCCTTGGTAATTAAAGGAATTACATCGCATTGTGTACGGAGATAAAAATCCCCGCGGTGTTGCAGCAATTAAAACTTTTTCATCCTTCGAGGTCTATACACGGTCGACGAAATAAAAATAGTAACGCGCATTTACTACTTCGCTTTTTTATGAGTAACATCTACCCTTTTAATTCGTGAGATCTTTATTTTGAGAAAACGAATGTTTTGGCGTATAAAAATATATCTTCGTTTGGAATAGTTCACGGATTTCACGACCTAATATCCACAACTGTTTAACCAGAAAAGACTAGCACAGCGGCATCTAATATATAGTAAACATAACTTCACGTTTCGCAACGTTCAACGAATTTCCATTTCAACATTCTCCACGCTCTTCGAGCGTCTCTCAAGCATCGTTGTCCCGAGCTGTTTAAACACGCAAACTCCGCTACACATTCGCGCTAACACCCCACGGAGATCTCGAATCGACGCGATTAAACGATTCCAATCGATCCACGTGCCGGCGTAAACTTTCAACCCTTCTATCGCACAGGGCTCGAGTCGCCGGGGTCTGGTTTACTGAGCGATAAAACGAGCCAATTTCAGGAACGTGTGTTTTGTACACAAATGCAAAGTTTACGCAGAGAAGCCTTACATTGAAACCGGGTAAAGTGTGTAGGAGTACTTCATGTTCTTCAAAACAAAGGAAAACATTCTTAATTTATACGAACGTGGCTATGGCTGGTACTCGAACTATTTACAAAATTGAAAACGCGAGACAATGGCGACTTTCGGAGGATGGAAGGAAAAAGAGAAACGTTTGAAACAGGTATGAAAAATATTGAGTCGATTACTCGATAACCTCTAGAGATTTTCATTGGATGAAGTTTATTTCACCTTTTAATTAATGGCCGAGTGATCATTCAGCAGAGAAGCTAGAAGTCCCCATAAAAAGGAATGTATCATGCGCAAACCTGACAGAATTCCCTCGGTGACCTTTACAGGAATTCTTTCTCCTGAGTCTCGATCGAACGCATTATGCAATACAGGATCGAGTTATACTGTCTGACCCGTATTTTCTCCGAAAAGCTACAGTTTAAATCTCCGAATACTGCCATAAATTTGTAAGGATGTAAGCTTTCGAGGTCTTAAAGCATGCAGTGCCGAAGGTCTTCGGAGAAGGGTTCAGGTTCTTAAAAGAAACCCTTGCAATATTGCAAGTAACTTTCCTCTTGGAACTTAAACTTTAGGAAAACAAGTTTACTTAACGAATAAGCGGATGATTCACCAAGACCAGAACCCTACCTTAAGACACTTTCACAATCGAACATGGATAAAACGATATCATTACCAAACCGACGGTCAGTTAAACCTTAAAATAAAAACTGCGAGATAGCAAGATCAAGATCTCGAATTTCTCTAGAATGCAATGGATAAAAACCTCGTTGTTTCGTTCAAACAAACCAGAACCGAGGGCTAACAATGTTTGTCCAGCTGTCGCCAGCTCAAAGGTTAACCATCACACGCGAGGCACACTCGAAGGCGGCATTGTTCGCGTCCTCGTCCGCGGCGAATCGTTCATCCCCCAAGGCGAGGAATAAAATCGATCCGGAGGGTACGACGAAGGGACAACCCCGATCATTGTCGAGTAACGGCGTCTACTTATCGTACTTCGCGGGCCTTTCGTCTGGTACGGCTTCCTGCACGCGTCCTCTGGCATTCTCGTCTCTCATCTCACCCCCGACGAATCCTGTGTTCGATTAAAAATCAGGCAGGACGAAATCGTGAGCCTCGAGGCACGTTCTCCCCGATCGAAACGTATCGCGAACGCACGAGTTCGATCCGTGTTAATTGAACGCGATTCGAACGGGCTAAGCGGAAGTCGAGGACGCACCGTCGCTAGCGCGAACGTCCCCCGCGTTCTGACGCGCCCCACTCGCCGTACTTTCGGCTGGATCCACCCCGAAGCTACCCCACGGGCTAACTGACACCGTCGATATACCGTATACGCGGACGCGGCATCTCTACTGACGTCCACGAACGGCGACGACGACGTCGGCGTCGCTACTCCCGGCGTCGGCGCCCTTCGCGACTCCGTCCACCGCGGCTGCGCTCGTTTCCGCGTTCCTGCGTCCTCGAGTGGCCCGGCTTTGTCCTCGCACGCCCATTCATCCTGTACCACCAGGACCGCGATCGAGACGCGTATTCTTCGACGCCAGGCTACACTTGTAGCGGAAGATTAAAAACTCAGGGCTGTCGCGAGCTCTGCATTATGATTTTGGGTTTAGAATACTATTATACGTAAACAATCTTCATCATCGTTGATGGGACAGGAATTAAAAAGCCTACGACCCCTGGCCAGTATACTGTTAACGAATCTATGCGTTATCTACATTTTCGTATTCATGGGAATTAGAATAGCATTCACCTGCATCGTTTCAACTACGTGCGAACGTGTCCCACTGTTCATCAAAATAATAATTAACGACGCGATGTGAAACCTATAAACTATCACTAGAACTGCGATTGAAACGCGTATTCTTCGACGTCAGGTTCCACTTTTAGGGGAAGATTAAAAACTCGGAGCTGTCGCGAGCTCTGCATTATAATTTTAGGGTCTTATTATACGTAAACAATCTTCGTTATCGTTGATGGGACAGGAATTAAAAAGCCTACGACCCCTGGCCAATATACTGTTAACGAATCTATGCGTTATCTAAATTTTCGTATCCATGGGAATTTAAACAGCATTCATTGTTTCAACTACGTACGAACGCGCCACACTGTTCATTAAAATAATAATTAACGACGCGATGCGAAACCTATACACTGTGTAAACCTATAGAGAAGGCGTGAATGATGAAAATTACGGTGGCGGGCGTCACTCGCTCCTTTCAGGAAAATGTAAAAGCTCCCGGGATTAAATTTTATTACACGACGCTTGGGGACGCGAACACGTTTCTCACTTTGTTATCCGCGGGAATATCTACGGCGCCTGGAGGAATGAGATCATAAAACGGGCGCGACACCCGAGCCAACCGAACCATATCAGGTATTAATTTCGCAATCTTCGCGTTTATGGATTGTCAGCGATTATTTAAATCCACTCCGTTCAAAAGTTTCCTTTGTCGACGAAAGCTTCAACGTTTCTCGGTTCCTCGCATTCCACTGCGACTGTGTTTTGTGCTGGCCTGTTTCCCTAGATTCTTAAATGAAACTTTGTTTGTACGTAAAGCACGTTGAAGTGTACGAGGAACAATTTCTTTTTCTTAGAATCTTATTGCGTAACATTCGTTCTTATATCTTACGATCTCGTTATCGCAGATGTATGTTTGAAAGGTTGAAATTGAAGACATAATTTAACCGGGATTTTTTATCGTTTTCGTGTCACGGCGCGTTACGAATTTGTTTTCGAGAGGCAAATTGGGAATGATTTTCACGGTATACCGTGGGAAAATCGATCGACGAGTGAAATAATGGAACCCCCGATAACGATCTACAGTAATATCCGTTTTCACGCCCGTGGACGTTGACGATCACGTCAAGGTAGATTAAACGTTGTCCCGATGAAAATGATTTACGACTGTATTATCGTTTAAACGAGGGAATAATGTTAATCTAGCGTAGCAGGTCGTTTTCGTGATAGGATGAAATATAGTTGATGTATTATGCATCTACTGAAAGACTGTGCCCGCTGTGAGTGTTCAATTTCATTTCGCGGAATAACCTTCTGTGCCTGAAATACTATAACGATGATAGAATGATAGTAATCAATTTATATTACCAATAATAATATTCTCAGTCTGGCAAAAAATACAAGTTGTAGAGGAGATTAGAGAATGCTTTAATCAATATAATTTATTTAAAAAATAATGTCGCAAATCGCAATTCTCTATCACGTTCAGTTCATAAATTACATTAATTAGAAATACGATATTATCAAACTTTAAATAAATATAACTTCTAAACTAAACGCGATAGGGATTTGTAGTTTGTGGTATTACTTTTCGAATAACTTATATTAAATGAAAACACGGTCAAATCGCGACGCTACCAAAATTGTAATCGTACCAATTTTTATTTGCCATGGAAATTACGTTATCGTTCTCTATTTATTATTTAAATCGAAGTCAGCCTAACTGTAGCTCTCGCCCCCATTGTACTCCTGATTTATGATCTTGACATTGAGACATCCGCTCACGAGGCGCCGTCGCGTACGGTTACTTTCGTAATCCATGACAATCTTTAACGCCCCAAGAGTCCACCACACGGGTGCCTCAATTCAAACATCAAACAACGCGAAACTAATCCAAACAGTTCACGACCCCGTGCAAACACGTAAACGAGATATCAGGTATACATAGTAAGAGCTCCCTCAACCGTGAAACCTCGGGGAAAGCTACCTCCAGCGGCCCGTTTATTTCTGGTCGCGTAACTTTCTGGACACCCCTTATTTGTATTGTGTCCGCGTTAGACAAAGGCATGTTTCGGCGCCGTCTCGTCGGGTATCTATTGATTGCAATTTGAGATGACGACGGACGGGCAAGCGCGCGCGTATCTCGCAAGAAACATCCACGAACTGTCCCCCCTTCCAATTTTCCTGAAACTTGTCAACTTCTAGCCAATTTTCGTACAACTTTTCACAGCAGCCAAAAATTTGGGGCGTGTCCGTCACTTTCCCGCAGTGGGTGACTCCATTTTAACCATATAGGTACACGTTTAGAATTACTCGATAAAATATTGGGTTCGTCAAAAAATTCGTTCGGGTTTTAAAGGATTTTTCTTAGAAGAGGAGATACACTTACTTCGTAACATACTGTCCATTTTGTTCTGCGAACTTTCCCCATCTTTTTGGCCAAATTCATGACTCCACGTTCGTAAAAGTTCGAGTCAAGTTAATAGCCATCTGAATTGCATAAGACCATTACCATAAACCCAACGAACTTTTTGATCAACCTAATAGTTCCTTGATGAAAGTCACCTACAGTGGGTGTAGAGAGTATTCGTACACCGATCAATTTCCAAAAAAACTATGTAAAATTGTAATTTATTAACTTATTTTTTATAAACAATGATATTCTACATATCCTCAGAAATCTCTAGAATAGATAGATTACAAAAAAAAATAGCTATTTATGTAAATTGCGAAATTAACAAGAAAAAAACAATTAATCGATAGAAATGTTGAAGCAATAAGTATTCGCACAACTGTTTAATGTTTAAAACTTCATTAAAAAAAAAAGAAATTTACTTTAATTTACAAGTATATAATACTTCCTTCGTGGGATTTCCTTTTGATTTTATAATTATTGTAACTTTTCTAAGCATTAAATTAACTAAATTATTAGTTATTCGAAATGGGATCTTTTTCCATTCCTCTATTAGAACCTTTTTTAAAAGTACTTTACTGAAAATTTGATGTTTTTTAATTGGTACGGAGCAATAAACTAATGTGTTTATATTACAAACTCTACTGTAAATGGTTCGTCATAAGAATCGTACAAATACTTATTGCATCTATACTTTTACCCACTTTTTGCATTGTTTTGTTAATTTCATAAATTATATTATCTAGTAAATGTTGTTCGGACTATATCTATCTTAGAGACTTCCGAGAATATGTAAAGTATCATTGATTATAAAAAAAGAAATTAAGAAACTACAATTCCACACAAAGGTTTTTTGGGAAATTGTGCGACCAACGTATTAAATCCAATTTCTTTCTGTTATTATCTGTCATGGCACATCGTCGAAGATGGAATCGAATATTTTATTTTATTCTTTATCTATTTTCTCCTTTACTCTGAAATCTTCTTTCTAACTTGATTGATAACTTTCTTCGTGGAATAGAATAGGGTGAAGCTCGAAAAGCAAGTATTCGTGTGGCTCCTCTTTAATGTCCAGAGTATCCTTGAACATCCTGGAACTAGGTCTTCGGGCGCCGCTTGTCCGCTATAAGAAATCCACCCCTAGGGACCTCGGGGTGTCTGAACTAGAAAAACAGGATCAGACGTCGGCTGATTTAAGTATTGGCCGCTCTGACACGGTTTCCCGGGATCTAACATAAATATGTACATCGCGAGCCATAAATTCGAAAGTGGGATCATGGAAATTCTGTAATTCGTATGCAGGGTTTCTTGCAGGACGCGAAGAAGACCCTTTTCCGTATTCAAGGAAGGAATAACGACGTTGTTTCAACTGCACGATTATTTACCTCTGCTTTTGTCGAAACGGTCATTCTCAGAGTTTACGAGTCTTTTTTTTTTCTTTCTTCTCAGTTTCAACACATTAGGAAAATTTCCTCCAGTTTCCCATCGGTTTGCTTTCCAACGTGGACATTTACTCGAATAAAATTACGAATTTCAAACGTTTCGAGTATTTTGAGCATGAATTTTGTGCTTGGAATGGATTCGAGCAGTCGCTTGATTTTATTCCTGTTATAGCTGCATGGGTCGAGAGAACGTCTTATATCTTCGAGGAATTTTATTCTCGCTCGATGAAGTTCAAGTTGCCCCTATCATTTGACCAGTCAATTCTGACGGAATAACCGAGTTGGCTATATACTCTTTGGTCTCGAGATAGTGCTGATATTTTTGCGGCTTCCAGAAACAATAGATTATATTTGAAATGGTGGAAGGTACAACTGATCCCTGAACAAGTGGCTGTAACGAAGCTTTACGAATCGAAGAAAATTGTACTTAATTCGAGCAAATGGTAGATTCCTCCCTCGATGTTCGTTCCTGTACACGGTGAATATTATTTCTTTTATTTAAAACGTATCAGTCTATTCTGTTGCAAATCGTATGCAATTGCTCGTCATTTTCCAAAGGCTCGATCGAGTATCGGAAAACTAAGCGAAGGAAGGAGCAGTCTGTCGATTTGCTATTTGCGATTTGCTTTACGTTCTATCCAAATAGACATCCCGTATTAACGCGACCCGACGAGATACAATCCCATTTTTTGGATCACCGCCAAAACCGCATTTTCTCTATAGTTCGAATCCTCCGTCACGCGTATGTAGCGATCGGTATCAAGGATTTCGAATGCATCGCAGGACTGTCGAGACTCGTACACATAGACATACATGTAATTTCTATGTGTACATTTATTAATGCAAATTGCCTTCGTGGATCACCATGTTTGAAATACTTTATTGTAGTTACGTATCATTTCGTAAATTACACTTCTCTCGTTCAGAAATTCAACTAAAAATAATTAACAATCTAGCTAAAAAACATTACATGCATATAATTTTGATGTGTACATTTATTAATGTAAATTGTCTTCATGGATCACTATGCTCGAAATATTTTATTGTAGTTACGTATCACTTCGTAAATTAAGCTTCTCTCGTTCAGAAATTCGACTAAAAATAATTAACAATCTAGCAAAAAAACATCGCATCTTCTCAACATTAAATCTACTTTAATACATCCATTTACATTAATTTTCTCAGGAATCTTTCACACGATCATTGTTCGTAAAAGTTTCGAGACCTTTCGACATCGTTATTCCCAATTTGAAGACACTACTCGTTTCGATCGATGCGAATAAATAAGGCTGTTTCCCCTATTGGACTCTAGAAGTGTCTCTAATTACCTGGCGACAGCTCACCGTTATTTGGGACACCCTTTTATTTTCCTGGCGACATTGTCTAAACTGCTTGGGTACGTAGGGTGTGCTGATTAAAATCAAGCAAGACTTAATTAGGCCGGTGTCATTAGGGGAAGGCATCCTACTCGATCTCGATAACGCGCCTCCGCTTGCTCAAGAACTCATTTACGTAACAAATTTTCCACCCTCTTTTGCGGGTAGCTGTGTACCCTCTGTATCCATCCTGGTGGAAAATTTTTTTTTTTTCGAGCCCTAGGAACGCTTGTTTGGGTACCGTGGTATCGGAAAATGCAACCTCCAGGAAAAAATCCTGAAGCAATTCGATCCCTTCGACGAAGGGACGCATTCTGCGACAATTATTGCCTCTCGTAACGCGCTGCTATTTTATTTTTTTATTTAACGACCTCATTCGCCATATTAAAAATAAAAATAATATGTAAGCGTAAGAATCGCGTTGCGCGAAAGCAGGATGAAAGGGTGAGGTTCAGCGAATATTCTCTTTTGCAACTTACCAAGTTACTTTTGTCGAACGTAAACACATTCCAAAATTAAATGTATCACATACACGAGAACTTTCTGTTACAACTTTTGTTGAAAGTAGAGGAATATCAGCTCTGAAGCAATTGATAAAGTCTCCGCTGGGATAATAATGAAGCTACAGATTCTGGATTTTGAGTCAGATTTTGTGTATTATTTAAAATTTAAATTGGAATGCTTTTCCTCCCGTCTATTGGCTACAAGTGCCACTTCGTTGTCGCCATACCAATGAAATCTACTCGGAGAAGATGAAATTGCAAATTCCGTGAAAAGGTCAAGGATTACCCGAACAAAGAGTGTCCCCAAAAAGTTCTCGAACATAATCAGAATTAATGGATTTATTGCAGCGTTCGTAGCGCGGCGAAAGCTTGTTTTCGTAAACAACCGTCAGAGTTGGTGGACTCTTTTTACGTCGCACGCAAAAACTGCACTCTGACATCGTACAATGAGATTCAGTTGAATGGAAAGAACCAATGATCGTTGTACTGTAAGTAATTGTTGCCCGTTAGCCTTGTCCATGAAAAGGCGGTGGAAGTTGGAGCGCGAATGACGCGCATGCATGCACTTTGTATTTATAGCCTTGCCGGTGCGACCCTATCAGAGCGAAAATTTAAGCACCTGAAATCCATCATTCGCTGCGGTATTGTTGCCAAATTCTTTCACCAGAGACTCCAGTGACGACGAAATGGAGCAGCGTTGGTATCGATTCGAGTTTAACTTTCGCCTCGCCAATCGTATCAACACTGGCTGGAACCATCAAGCTGCGAACGTAACGAAACGCCGATGATTAAATGTCAGACGTGGCTATGAATTCTGCCTGAGCAGACAGTATCGATGCTGGGAGCCAACTGAATGCTACAGTTTCTACCTAACGACTATACTCGGTTATCAGCTAAAGATAGCAGCAATAGGGACAGAAGCAGGAGGCTTTAGTGTCCGCGCAAAGACAATATTGGTATCGATCGGTTCGCGCAAAGAACACTCTCGTTTTGCTGGCGTTTTTGCTTGAGAAATTATATCGCATGATTTTTCTTTTATGCTGCTTTGAGATCCTTTATTGATCGAAGCTTCTTCTCTGGTTTCTTTTGTGATGGTGTTCTAAATGTTGTCGGGGCCTCAGAGATCGAGGTCTGGATCGCTCACCTTTCAGAGGCCCCTGGAATATTTATCAAAAATGATCCACCGTGGAACAAGCAATGTAATCATATTTCGTTCGTTAGTTGTGAAGCTACTGATAGTCACGGAATCGCAGGAAAATAATGTGCATCTAAAAAGTACATAATTTTGTTTGATACAAATCAGTGAAAACATGCTTGGTATACAAAGCCTGGTTGCAGGATAGGTCTGTCGAAAAGAATAGATGAAGGCCCGATTGAAATGTAATTTATTTTCATTAAATATATAACCGTGTTACGCGATCAAAGTATTGCCTTGTTGCTTACTCCGCCCGACAATTACAAAAACATCACATTGCCGGACGGTTACAAATAGTCAGCCTGTAGAGTACGAGAACGAGTGATTCGAAGTGATTAAACCGACTGCAATTGACAGATGAGACTCGTTGCGTGTACGCTGGCCCAACGAATCCTTCCTTATTTACATGTCCAAGTGGATCAGATCCTATAAAATATGTACGATGATAATTATATTGCTACCGATCACCCCCAATGTTTCCGTTGCCAATGATATCCCAAGGGAAAAACCTATGTTGACTTTTCACCTTTGAAGCACATGTTCCAATGAGAATTTTACTCCAAAAACTCGGTCTCTCGCTAAAAAGATATAAATCGTACAAAATCAGACGGAGAATAAAGATTGAAAGGAATCGGAATGCTTCAAAGGGTCGCGTTACGGTTCGTTATCGGATGTCTCAAAGTGTTGATTGTTGGCATAATCACGTTCGTTAGCGCCGCTTTTATTTCGTGATTGGTTACGTATCAAATTGAGAAAGGCAGACGAATCTCTGTGGCGAGGACAGCCAAACACAGATCTGCCAAAACTAGTACGAGTATGGACATACAATATCGATAAATATAATGTATATATTAGTATATAAATAACACGATCCTTTACACTAGAGTACAAGGTGTATATACATGTACGATGGATGGAGTCTTCGTAAAAGTTACCGGAGCATCGAAGATTTCTCCTTAACTCTAATTATGTTTCAATCCTCGCGGCGCACTTATCTCAACGACTCCTATTGTCCTTGCGTCGTTCTAGCGATTTCTTAATGCAAAAGTAGGAAAATAGCGAGGGATTCGGCGCGAATCGTGCTCAATCTTGCATGAGACGGACCTGCGATCGAAGGTCTCTTTGGTGGAGAGGACGGAGAAACGATAAGCAAGTTTCCAAAGTCAATTCAACCGATGAAGTCTGTCGTAAATATAGGATAACCTTAGCAGCCCGCTGATCAATGCAATTAGGCGTTGACGTCGTACTATCGTTTTTTAAACCTCATCTATACCACTTTCGCTAAGAAAACATTTTCTAAACAGTTAAGTACAAGACACGCAACAACATTGCTTCTCGGGATAGAATTTAATCTTTTGCCTGATGGTCTTCTATCGGTGTCTTCGATAGTTTAAGATCACAAGTGCTATCGATGCTCTCTATCACAAGAAAAATCAAAATACTTCTTCGATGTTATTGCCCTAATCATTTGTTTACGAGTGACCAGATTCTTTTCGCGGAATCGTACAGGGGTGCGATTTCGTTCTGGTTCCACTCTGTTCGAGTAACGTCGCGCTCTCGGAGCATTGAACGACGGTGGAACACGTTTTCAGTGGATTTCACGAAGCTCTTTACGAAATGAAACTTGATCGTTGAACAACTTTTACATCCAGATTTGAATTCTTTGCGTGAATCGAATCGTGTTCATTGTTGGTAACCATTCGTCTGGGTTTGACCTTCCTGGCTATCTATACTATAGCCAGTAATGCTATCTGGACTTTGTAGAGATGCTGCGTAGAGTGGATTCACTGGTGTGGAATTTGTGTCGAATTGGGTCGAGTCATAAACACTGTGATTCTGCGAACAAAAGAATATTTCGTGTTGCACTTTTCAACGAAAGAGTGAACCGTTGTAATCGTCAGCATCATAAGGAATATAACGCCACTGAACAATCTACTATTGAAACTGTAAAAGAGATTTGAATATTCTTGAAACGTTTCTTGTTAAAAAGTCATCTCGTCCACTGGCGCTATACGTTGAACTTTTAGTATTACGATTGCACACATACGACGAAAGATCGCAAACACTTCTAAGCCGAGTGCAAAATCTTTTTCACGATTATATAAGGTGCAACAATTGTTTGCAAACTAAAAAGAAGCAGACGGTAGCATTCGTGAAAGGGACAAATCAATTGCAACACAAAATTGAAGTGTTAGCGTTATCCACTGCCTTGTTAGTGTAAATAAATAAAACCAAGTACATTGGCTACATTAATAAGTTTAATTAAATCTAAACATGCTATATATACAGATAATAAAGCATTTGTGCGCTTCTCTATTGTACACTACGATACATCTAATTGTTAACAAACACATGTAATTCCGATGTCCCATATTTTACTGTTCCAATCGTTAAAATCAATTGAAAAGCTAAACTATTTCTTATATACAACTATACGTAATAACTTAGACTTTATGACGATAGCTCTAATGAATATTTATAACGACTCAGTCTGTGTGTACGTCTTCGTGCCGTAAGGAGAAGGACTGGGACCTGCCTCGTTATCTCTATGAGACTTGTGGGCGCTTGAAGTTTTCAAGGAGAACAAGTAATCGCTCAAACCATTGGATTCTTTTTTCTTCGAATCCTTTTTTCGTATCTTAAACGATTCTTTACTCGTTAACGCGGAAAACGTAGAAAGTAATTGTTATGTGGCATTCGAAGTATCAATCAAATCCGATGGATTTTCTTTATCACTCTCGGAATTTTCAGTGACAAAATATTGTCTCAAAGGACTCGATTCTTTCGTTTCGGAAACGTTTCCCGACGTTTGAGCAACATTCTTCAATAAAGGCTCCTGAACAAGGGTACTATCTTTCACATCTGAATCGTGACTACTGCTATCCAAAATAGATTGTAACGTATTCTCGAGCGGTGGGATTTCTGAAAATTGGGTTGGTATGTTCCCTTCAGACTTTTTCCTATCGTGCTCCAAACTACTCTTTCTGGTGAGCGTAAATAAATTCGTGTTGCTATCGTTCACCTTGGGTTTGTAAACAAAGTTACTAGCAGTGGTCGGTGAAAATAATAGATTCGAGACGCTACTGGACCCGCCATACACGAATTGCGATATGGAAGTACTCCTCCAAGTCGTGTTAGGGAATTTTAGATCGGACGAACTCTTTTTGGAATCGATACAATTGTCGGATTTGGTCAGGGGGTAATTTTTTAATTCGGAGACACCTTTCTCTGCGCCGACACGTCCAGCGAAACTTTTAATGCCGGATGTGGATCGATATAAAGCAGTCGGGGATTCGTAAGTGTGTCCGCTACCGCTTCGAGAATCTTTGATGGATGATAGGGAGTGTAAGGAAGTTTTATGTTTCAGTGGAGATGTTTTTAATGTCTGTGAATCGTATAAGGGCATGTAAATAGACGCAGTATGGACCTGATAAATATAATCGCTGTCTGTTTTTAATGAGGAGAAACTCTGTTGATGCGGCAATGACACTGTGTCTTCATCCATTGCATCGTCTACTTGTGCCTTGTACGAGAACATTATCGACGGTTGAGAGACCCTAAAATAAAACTCATTAAATAGTCACTGTATAGATTTTCAATACCTTAAACGTACCTAGACGCGACAACTTACCCGAAAACTTCAGACAGGAATGTGTGATAAACCAAAGGTGTAAAAAGAGTCAAATAAACAGCTGCAGTAAAATCCACGATACATAATCCTATAGGATTCTGTGTATAATTTAAAAAGCCTGCGCCAATTGATTGTACTAAGTCTAGCATGGCCAATGTACCAGCATAAATGTAAAAACTTTTCTTTGCTGCAACAAAAGTTCCATCATAGTATTCAAGACATATACAGAATAAGGATCAACCACGTATTGGCATCAACATACTTGGAAGAGTTAACCGATCTCTTAACCGCGTCCATGGCAGTATTAATATAAAAAGATATATCTGGAATAAGATTGTAGTAAGTAACGGAATAATTCGTAATAAATTAATCGTATCGCAGCAGAAACTTACCATTGTGAAAACAATACTGCTGCAAAACCAAAACATCATACCACCATGACCAAATACATAAAAATCTCTACTAGGTATATGGAATGTATCATCTGGTAAAACTAGTTCCAATGTTCCTTGAGTTACCGTGAAAGCCAGTGATATGAACGACGTGGCAAGTAGTACTCTACGAATACTTGAGCGACTATCTAAGTGTCCTATGGAAAGAGACCATGTATTTGGAACGTTTGATAACCAGTTTTGAACAATATTTGAATAAACTCACCGAAAGCCAAACCGAAAATAACGACACTCATCTCTGTGGATAACAAGAAAAATCTTACTGTTACCCACAGTACTTTATCTGCTTTACCACCAGCGGTAGTCGCCGCATTTACACTCATCGAAACAACACATCGTATCACCGAAATTACTACATTACAAATGACAAGTCCATAAAATGCTAAGTATATCGGACTACTCGTTGCTCGTAATTTAAGCCTTGCTCTGTTAAATCTTACCGCAATGAATAAAAGAAACAAGAGATTCGGTACCAATATGATAGTATCCCATATTCGTACTCTGGAAAATAGAAACGGATCTGTACAGTGGAATCAAATCATTTTTACTTCTCTACATACCTTGAGTCTTTAATTTCTTTGTATAAGATGAATTTGCAAAAATGCTCTTCATCGTTCATCGGCGAACTAACATTAGGAATCATTGTACTGCTTAAGTCATACGTATGTATCCAACTTTCAGAAACCTGTTCACGTACTGCACCATACATACTTTTTGGTTTGTTGTATATGTTAGACTCCGACCATCTCTCAAGTTTTCACTGACAAACAAATAAATAACAATATGTATACAATGGCGTACAAACATTTCCAAGTGAGTAACCTTTCCACTTTTTTTTTCAAAAGCAAAACTTAAAGAAATCTTCATTTACATCGAGTTTAAGAGTTGCGGAAGAATGGTACAAGGAAGATGAATGCTGATACACTCCAATTGTAAATATCATTCACCTTTCATAGTATCTTTTTGCATGTTATATTTATATTAATAGTTTCTTTAACTCTTGCTTTTGGAAGAAACAGAGAAAAAATCATCAAATCGTCAATTTTTGCACGTCACTGTAAGTTCTCTCTATGGCAGAGTTCTGCGATACTTTCACAATAACAAAATAAATATAGCTTCTCTTTTCCAAATATTTAGAAGATAGAAATTTCCTTACTGCTTTGTTCGAACTAATCACCATAAACCACAGCACTCTGCTTACTGACATAATAAACATAACCTCAAAATACTTGGCACTTTTCCCGAATCGCGACCTTCGTTCTCGATAGGATGTGACGAGCGATCAACGTAATCGCATAAACAAATAGTCGACTAGAAACCTTCCCACGGAATAAATCTAAATCCTCCGTTTAAAAGGACGAAAATCGATAAGCGGCACCCTATTGTATAGCTGTCAAATCGACGAGGTAGAACGATAAATCACCACCTACTACTCTAATTAATCGCCTCTAATCGAATAACGCCACGGTATCGCTAAGTGGACTCACCGTACACGAAATCGCCGTACTCATCCTGATCGTCGTTGAAAATTACTCGCTTTCCCTTGGTCTGCTCTCGTGCATCCACTTGCGTTGCGTGTTTCGCAGTTTTTTTCCGCTGCTTACCACTGTTTGACTCTTTGTCTTATCCGCACAGAGTCGCACGGGACGATTGGCATCGTGCTATGAGATACCAGTATCCATCCTGTCCAGTCAGCTTTTCGTCGATGACCTCGGCTCTACAATTTTCCTTTTTTTCTTCCTGTCCCAGTAAAGCCACACAGAGCAACCGAAGACCGTGTATTTGATAGCCACTAGCAGAAACGCGTTACGAAGTGCGCGTGACTGCGTATAGAGTTTGACGTTTCTCTTGGACCCGTTCGTGTTCGACGAAAACAGCGGACCATCAAAAGGTGTTTCCAGGTGACGCCACGATTTAATGCCTATCATAAAGACTATCGGTGCGATGTCTTCTTCTTCTTTCGCGATTTCTTTTTTTTTTTAAGCACGCACGAAGCTTGCGAACGATTGCTCCCAAGCGAATCACAAGCGAATACGCTTTCACTGAATTATTACGACGTAACGTTAGAGTGGAAGCCTTCTGTCAGGTTAGGTACAGTGGCGCACTATACCACCACGGGGCCCAAGACAAAACGGAATTCGAGGGGCCCCGCTCAAGGAGAAAATGAGTGAAAGATAATTTTAAATTCAATGTCGTCTTATCGAAGGAATAAAGCAAAAAGATTACCTAACATACGGGAGATATATCTAATCTGGAGCAATAACTCCGAAATAATGCACGTACCTGAACACGTTGTCTAATGAGTAGAGAAAGTTTAATACAGGTGCTACTTGAATTATTTAGTACATTCAAGAAGATACTTTAATTATCACCTCAGCACAGTGCACGCGTCAATTGTTCTTTAAATCACTTACCAGAAGAACGAGTTTGTATAACAATCATTTCTGTGGCTCTCTTTGATCAGGGCCTTAAGCAAATGTTTCTCTTATCTGCAGTATAACGTGTCACTGATTAGACGTTAACAAAACATTCTAGAATGACCCCGGTTTGCTCGTAAAACTGGAAAATACCATGTTCCTCGCTCTGTTTCCTATCCCGTCCATTGCACAGTCTGTTTATTATTTCACCCGCACAAAAGAAAAACTCGTATATATTTTCACGTGTGTGTATAGGTTTCAACGTTTCTGGTTGTACGATTATATGTATAATGACCGTTGATTATACGAGGAATTTGCTGAAAACCGTTCATCGGGATATCCTTCCACCCGAGCCGGGTCAGAGTTTTTTGATCCAAGGCGATTACGAATATTGGCACTACGGGTGCGATGGCTTTAACGATAAGGTCTGTAATCGAACACTTTCCTTAATACGAATCACTGAACTGCAACATCCGATACGGCACGTAACGTTGCAGGGAATAATCTTGTGTAAGATTTCAAATATGCTTGAAATATTTCTATTATAATAGTCGAATGTATATAGGGATGGGGGTGCGGATATAGAACGCTTCAAACGATCTGTTCGTGGATCATAAAGAACAGGAACTTGGAGCAATCTGTTCCTAGCATCAGAAGCATACAGGAAATTCTTGTCGCATTGGAGGACAAGGAGAGGTCCTTCATCGGTTCAAGGGAGTGGATAGGAAGTTTCGAAGTAAGCTAGAGTTAATACTCCTTCCATCGATCGTTTATGCAAATCCTTATCGTCCTAGTCTACATAAAAATACAATTATTATTCGTAATTTCGTACTTTCCTTGCGTTAAGGCCCCATACCACAGTGCACGCGCGGTAAGTGGGTATTTTTAATCATTTTTTCGAGCAAACGGTAAATGTTTTTTTTTTTCATTGATACTTCTACCCAATGTATACATAAATAAGACACTACACAAATTTTCACAGACAATTTTCGTTCTTTATGAATAAAAATTAAATAGAAGGGGACCCTTTATAAAGAAATCCCTACGTGGTGCCGTAAACCTATACGTCTAGTTTATAAATATATATTTCTTTTTTCTTCTGACGAACCGTATAGCTTAATCGCTGTCAACTACCAAGCAGCAACTTCGGCAGAGTGTAGCGGCGTATACCGCAAACTATTCGTATTATTTGGATAAGGAAATTTGTGTAGTGTCTTATTTATGTACAGTGGATGTAGAATGTATTCGTACACCGATCAATTTCCCAAAAAACTTTTGTGTGAAATTGTAGTTTCTTAACTTCTTTTTTTATAATCAATAATATTTTACATATTCTCGGAAGTCTCTAAGATAGATATAGTCCAAACAACATTTACTAGTTAATATAATTTGTGAAATTAACAAATAAATGCGAAAAGTGGGTAAAAGTATAGAAGTAATAAGTATTTGTACGATACTTATGACGAACCATTCACAGTAGAGTTTGTAACGTAAACACATTAGTTTATTGCTCCGTACGAATTAGAAAACATCAAATTTCCAGAAAAGTACTTTTAACATTTCTGTCGATTAATTGTTTTTTTTCTTGTTAATTTCGCAATTTACATAAATAGCTATTTTTTTGTTGTAATCTATCTATTCTAGAGATTTCCGAGAATATGTAGAATGTCATTGTTTATCAAAAATAAGTTAATAAATTACAATTTTACACAGTCTTTTTGGAAATTGATCAGTGTACGAATACTTTCTGCTCCCACTGTATATTGGATAGAAGTATCAATGACAAAAAAAACATTCATCGTTTGCTCGAAAAAAATGATTAAAAATACACCCACTTACCGCGCGCGCACTGTGGTATGAGGCCTTAATCGATGATGTGGAAATTATCGTTTTCAATTCTTTAATTGAATTCGAACGATAAATGATTAAAGTGATTATATCCACGATATAGTCGATAAGAAATCGATAGAGCAATGAACGTGACTAATAATTCGTAGGTATGCCTCGTGCTGAATCACTTGTACGACGTTCTCAGTAAGATCGTTCACGTCCCAAGTGGCAAAACGTTATCAGACCAGATACCCGCTATCAAAGGACACTTCGAGGAATTCGGTAGCCCCCTGATGATGGGTGGTGACCGAGATTGTTCTAGCAAATGCGTTGTGGGAGTTCACCAAGCCGCGAAGAACACCTACCTGCTGATCGTGGATCCACATTTCGTCGGCACAGCGAAAACCATCGAACAGTTGGAAAACTATCATTGGGTGAAATGGCAAAACCTGAAAAACTTCGTCGACAGTTCATTCTACAACCTCTGTTTGCCTCAAGTTAAATGTATAGCAACGACTAACAAATAATAATAAAATAATACGAATACATACGATTTCTATAAATACAGTAAATGAATTTCCAACAAATCCCTTACTTAGTAATAATATTGTTTCGATACTTAACTGTACAAAAATAACATTCCTGTATCACATTATCCTACATTCGTTTTAAACCACTGATCAATCGCCTAATCGGTATTTAATATCAAACAAACTCCCTGCAGGACCCAGTGCGAAATGTGTTCCGACGTGGCAAGGTCCGCTTCGAAGACTAAACCTACTCCCATCGCGTTGCGTCGATTGGACGTCGTGTACACAGGCGTTTTGAAAGTATTCTACGGTATACAAAACCTTGTCATCGAATATCTAAGTAGCTCGAATTAACGAAACGGTTTAATTCGGTGTACCTGAAGCTTGAGTCTGTGAGCTTCGATTGGAATGATGGTGAGCACTGGCAGCTCTTCGACTAGAATTTTTGGGTGTGATCTCTTCAGACACCTCTCCTGTATGTCCCATCTAGCACCTTCCAGATACAAACCGCTGACGTAGCAACCCTGCATGAATTTCTTTCAATTAATTTACGTTGAGGATATGCGACTACCATCTATCGAACGAACGTTAATAACTTTGGTAATCTTTGGTATCTGTTGTATTTTTACCTGATCTGGCCTCTCTTCCACCTGGTCAGACTTGCTGTACCTGGACACCTCCGTGTAGATGAGCGAGCGATCGAGGGACCAATCGTTTCTGCGACAAGTCATTTGCACGAGAGCCGCTAAATAGGTTTCTGGAATGTGAAGGCCAGCTATCCAAAGAACTATAGGCTCGTTCGCGCCAGACTGAAAAGTTTCGAAGATAATTCGCAATATTAGGAATTAGAAGTTTATTTAGACGCAGTATCGGGTCCCTTCTCCTAGGAAAGCGACGATTTATGGAGGCCCCGTCTGTCTTACCCAATCAGTGTACTGTTGTATTCTCTTTTCGAAGTGTTCCATCCAACCAGCGAGGTTCTTCCTCGTGTCTGGCGCTAATCTGGCCCATTCTTTTGGCAACACGCCATTGTACAACGCTGTAGCCACGCTCTCCAGCATTGTGTCCATTCCAATTTCACCAGCAACAGCCTGAAATTACATTATTCGTCACGTTATTAGACAAAAGCGCGCAGTTTTAAAAGTACCTTCCTCAATTGCGTCAGGGTCCTATTCATCGTACTAATTAACTTGTTAAACCTCTCCAGTTCTTGGAATAGGACGATCGCCATTGGCGTCACGGCTATTCCGAACGCTTTCTTCACTTTGATCAGATCGTACTCGGTAGGGACCTTGTTCAATATCTCTTTTGCTATGTTGTCGATGAATTCGTCTTTGCTTATCCCAGTACCACTGATCGCTAAGATTTCGGTATTTTTGTTGTATTAACATTGACCGGCATATTAATTGTAATCATTTTTTAGTCGTAGAAGTAACTTACTCGTTCCATTCAAGCGGACTAAAATTATAACAGTAGGGTTTATTTGAATTTTCACAAAATAAAATAAATAAAGAAGGTAGTATTGAACAAGCTCTTCGATTAACGCTTGGACCCAACTATTTTCATCGTCGTCAGGATCGCACTTCACGAATAATATTCCTTCAAATCACTTTTAATAAGCATACCAACTTGTTCAAGACCACACGACTGTTCTACTTGTTTTTAATTTGAAATTTATTTGAAGGGGTATATTTTTAACATTTGCAGGCACTTACCAGTTTGTGGTTGTAGTTCTATAAGATTGTTCCACATTTCCTTCACTGCCTCGGTGAAGTACCCAATTTCGGCGTTTGGGTGGAGTCCAAAGACTTCCGGTGAGTTCACCAGCGGGAGTTCCTGTATGACCTTCAGG